TCCATGGGACGGATCAAGCTTCGATTTCTCTATCTGCCGTCGCTCTTGGCACATTCTCCTCGATGTCGTTTGATCGATTCTCTTTCTTTGCTGGAGTGTTTTCACTGACTTCCCGTTTCCCGCACCTTAGGCGCAATAATCCCCCAAAGGCCTGGACACAACCTACGAACCCTATTTCTCAGAAACCCTCATATCCAAATCAGAACAGAGGAGCTCCACAGCGGAAATCTACACTCTCCCCCAAGCCAATGGCGTCGAACAGGGAGTCTAATACACCTGACATGCATGCCAATGATCGCCTCACCTTTCTTTTGGCAGCCTGCATCGTAAGTTCTGTCTTGGCTACTGACCACTCTCACTCGTCGTCCTTTGACATCACCGTCGTCCTGGTCCTAATGCTGATTTTTGACCACCAGGGTTTGAACGCTACCATCACAACCAGGAGCGGAGAGAAATATTCGGGTATTTTTTCGGGCTCATCGCTGGAGTCGAATGAGTCCTCATTCACACTTAAGATGACACAACGTTGTTCCTCCCCACAGCCAGACCGCAGCAGGTCGAATGGCCTCAGCGACCACGCTAGCCCTTACATGGGATCAGGCGTAGATTACCAGATGGTTTTTAATGTCCAGGATATTGTGGATGTCGGTGTTGAAAACGTCACCACGTCGGGAATCGCCGCGAAGGAACAGAATGGTAATGATTACTCTTGCAACTTGTGTATCTTCTTACTTCTACTGCTGACCACTTTTACTTTTCCTTCTTTTATTTAGGAACCCCAACGGGATTTAAAACCGATGCTGATATCTCTGGTGGCCATGCGATTCGGGAAAGAGAACTCCAGCGTTGGGAACCTGGTACGGACGCACCTGCCGATATGTCCTTGGAAAGCTCAGGCTCCGCAAACTGGGACCAATTTGAAGTAAATGAGCGCCTTTTTGGGGCGACTACAAGCTACGACGAAAATTTGTACACTACAAGAATCGATCGTTCGGACCCATCGTATAAGCGCAAAGAAGCTGAGGCAGCTAGAATCGCACGCGAGATCGAATCCAGTGATACAGATAATGTCCACATGAGAGAAGAACGTGGCTTGGTCGCTGAAAATGATTACACAAACGAAGAGGACAAATACAGTGGTGTTCGTCGTGATGATTTCCCTCCTCTGCAATCAGGGCAACCGAACAAATATACCCCACCTGCGAGAAGAGCACCCACTAGCCACCCGACCGTGCCTGGCGCTCCTGTAGATCCAGCAATCATCAGTGCCCAAATTGCGAGGCCTGAGATGCTAACCAAACAACCAACTCAACCCAAGGTTACCGTTACGGCTTCGCAGAGCTCTATTACTGAAGTACCCAAGGACAAGGCATCAGAGCCAAATAAGCCTACCCCGTCTGTTAAACCCACAGCTAGTTCCGAACAAAAGGACATTACCTCCTCCACGCCCGCGTCGAATTCCACTGGTCCTCCAAAGCGTAATGGAGCAGAGAATGCCTCGTCCAACGTGGAGGCCGAAGTGCTCGATCATTTCCGCCAGTTCGCGAACAACGAAAAAATGAAACTTCAAGAACGCCGTCGTAATCAAGCTTCCTACGACCGGACAATTTAAACTCAATGAGCTAATGAAATTTTCCAAGAATTTCAAACTTGGAACGCCTGTTCCCAAAGACTTGGTGCCTATCCTGGCCAAGGATCCGAGTAAACAGGAGGAAATCGTTGAAAAAGCACGTCGACAACATGAGGAGAAGCTTGCTGAAGCTGCCGCCAAAGCCAGCGGCTCAAATGCTCCACCCTCTGCGACCGCTGCTTCAGCTGCCGAACTCAAACCTTCCGTACCTCGTACCGCTGGGCCTTCTCGATATGAGGCCGGTGCGGCACCTCCTGTGGCACCATCAGATCGACAACAGTACCCCCGTGGCCGCCAGGGTTACCCACCAATGGGGCCTCATGCTGGTCCAGGTGGACGTCCTATGGGACATCACAACGGGCATCCTGGACGATCTGGGCCAGGCCTTTTGAGCCATCGCCTGGCAGATATTCAGCAACAGCGCAAAGGCGGAGCTATGGGTCCTGCTATGCCTCCACCTCCCCCCGTTCAAGATGGCCGTATGCCACCCTCCGGACCCATGGGCGGTGATCTTACCAATATCAGCAGTCCTCATAAACCTCTCCAAAGCCCAACGTCAGCAACATCAACGAAATTCAATGTCAGAGCTCATGAATTTAAACCTAACCCAACTGCGAATACCTTTACACCTGCAGGAACATCTGCCATATCTTCTAGCCCTGCATCTAATGCAAGGACTCGATCGATTTCTCGTACTGCTAGTCCGTCCGCATTGTTCGGCGCTAAGAAACCCCTGCCAGCATCGGAACGGCCATCAGTTAATGACCACTTCAACCCCATTAAGCGGATGAGAAATGAAGCAACAGAGCAGAGTACTAAAGACTACGCATTTAATGGCGGAATTCCCCAAGCTTATCGAACTCCCCCAACATGGGATGTTGCTCCGATTAATGCGGAGAAAACTTACGCTGATATGTTCAAAACTCCTGTACCTGCCCCTGCAATTTCACCCCAAAGGGCTGCATCTAATCCTCAAATACCACCTCAACATCAGCTTCCATATCATCTTCAGCACACTGTCCCTCAGACAACTGGCCCTCCACAGGTTCATCCTCATCCGCACGTACAACCACATCACCCATCGGGACATCCACACTTCGATGATCCCCATCGCATGCAAATATCTGCTTCAACCTCACAAGTTTACCCGTCGCCCCGACTCCAACCGAGTCATGTGGCATACCCCTCTCCCATGGGCCATCATGCCCAACTAGCATTTGGTCCCTCGGTTCCGCAATTCTACCCGGGGCAAGGCCCCCAGCCTTCTCACATGAGACATTACCCCGGTGGGCCACAGTTTATTAACCCACAAAACGGTATGGGCGCACCTATGATGGTCCAACAGCCATCAAATGGTCCTTATGCAGGTATGCCTCAGGGCATGAGTGTCCCGTATAACCCTCAAATGTCGATATACTCCCCGAATACTGGGCATGCCTATCCGCAACATGTCCCCCCACCACCGCAACCACATAGTGGCTTTCCCAGCCCAAACCGAGGAGCAGCCATGATGATGCATCAAGGCTCACAACAGGGCCACCCACATCAGCCTGTCATGTTCATGAACTCCGGACAGCATGGACAACTTGTCTATGCTCCACAGCATCAAGCCCACAGTGAGTTAGACTGGCGTTTGTCCACTTACAAACATTTGGCGTACTAACGGTCAAAGTGCCTCCAGTGCGCTCTGGTTATCCTCAGCATCAACAGAATCATTTCAACACTAGTCCTCACCAAGCGCATTATTACCCACATCATCAGCATAGAGCCCAGAACAATCACTACAACCAAATGCCACACATGCCTCACCCCCATATGCAGCCGCAAGGACCACCACAAAATGTCCCGTCGGGGTCTCATGCTCCGGAGGCTGTTGACGAAGTTAAATGAAAATATTTCGGCGGGCTGTATACGATGTATTTTCACCTCTTCCTCCTTCCCCCTCCCCCTCCCCCCGGGAATTTGCAGCGTGGCATGAAAACCATGGAAATTCCCATTGGTCATTTACCCTTTCCGGAATGTTGCGTGCGATGTGAGACTAGTCTGTGCTACATTACTTCCTATTGTATTTTTTCACTGATTATATTTCGTGGCGCCGTTGATTGATATATTTCTTTTTTTTTTTTTTTTTTTTTTTTACTGGTCTCCCGTGGTTGCAACATTCAGAAACTGGTTATATGAACTTTACATGAACGGATTAGGGAGATTTCTCTTGGTAAGTCAAGTGAAAGTTTACTCTCTCTGCCGAAACCTTGCTATTATATACTAACTGTTCTGAAGATAGTTGAGACTTGAGATTGAACATATGAGAATTCCTCGCTAGATGGAAAAACGCCAAATGGAGTTCCCATGGCCTTGTCTGGCGAGGCAAGCAATTCCGGTCCAATGAATGGGATCAAACCACAAAGTTGCTTTAATCGATCTCTTCATTGGATGTGCTGCAGCCCATATAAGTCAGCACTTTAAACTCCCAATTAATTTTGAGTCCCATACAACTCTGTTGGTTCGATTCTTCAAGAAAGAGTTGGATTCTGATATACGTGGTCAGTGGTAAGAATTGGTGGTCGAGGGATTTTAGAGGTGGACTGATTAAGTAGGGGAGATACAATGTGTTGTCAGATCGTTTGTTTTGTGGGAATGGAAGGGTTTGCATGATTTTGAAGGATGGATTCAGAGCTACAGCGGCGGTGGTGGTGTGCTTATTGATAGGATCGGGATCGTGTGATTGGTGTGATTATATATTGCTAGGAACGGGGCGAGACATGAATGAAGGTGGTTTGGGTTTTAGTTTGCTTTTTTAAAGAAAGGCAAAAAGTATTAGTGTGGAAGTTCGGGGAGAGTGAAGTGGTTTATTTTATTCTTTTTCTGCATTGTTCTAAGGAAAGCTTCAGAACTTCTCATGTTGTGGCATGGCGCGCATGCACGTTAGGTAACTATGTTCTCGACATGTTGAGGACGGAGGGTTTTCTTGTTTCTTGAAAAATGCATGATATGATGTTGATACGCTCTGGGTGGTGCCTTGCCGTGGCTCTTAAAAGATGCTTGTTTGACTAAGGCTGGAGGAGATGAGAAGTTTATTTTTACTTTTGGTTTTTGCCTCTGGCTTTCTCCACTCCCTCCTTTTGCTGCTGTTGCGGATAAATAGCTACTATATAGCTTTCGAAGTGAAATATACTTCTTCATATATTAGCATTGGTGGTTTGTTTGAGAGAGGTGAAGGGATGATGTGAGGTGAATAGAGAATAATAGGTGTCATTCTACTGCGTGGGTACCTGGTATGTATATGTATGCACATGCATACATACATGTATGTATATGTACGGCACCTCGTGGTTAATATGCGGATGCATGGGGTGCACGTATCATTCTTTCCCTGCGATAGTTTCGAATGTTACATTTGTTCATTCATTCTGTATGACAGCTAATGGATCTGGATGTAGAATCTAGATGTATGTATGAGAATATGGGGTGGCGTGTAACGGCTATGTAAACCCTTTCGAGGGAAGATGGGAATGCCGTGGCGAGAGGAGAGAAGACATGTATGTGTGTCCCTGGGTGGTTTTATGGTATGACTATTATGCCCAAGTGTAACCAGCAGGTATGCTAGAATGAAAATAGATCGCTGATACTAATTTATCTTGTTTGCTTCTCTTTTTTATTCTTTGGCTGTTTGATTGCTTGGGACATTGGGACACGACGACATTAGATACGGAGAGAACTGATACGTGCGGCGTTTTGTGTTGAAATAGATCGGGTTACGAGACGGAAGGTGGTTCCAAATGTAAATATACGTGGCTGTGCGCGAAGTGACGAGTTCAAGTGCACGTGTGTGTAATGTACCTGTCGTGCTCGTGTGTAATGCCGGTTCATAGTAGGGCTATATTATCTTTTGCCCTTGGGGGAAACAATATATCAGCAGTCGTTCCAATTAGACTCGTTTATTTAAGTAGCTTGTCTTGACTTCATGTCAGCTTCTTTTTGAGCTCAGTCAGAGTCAGGGGGATAGACTTGTGATGGGATGGGGATATTGGTTCAGCCCATGATTTTGTGTCTCCTCAGGTCTTTTCAGTTTCTATTTTTGGTCATCATTCATCGCGAGGATGAAGAGAATCGAGACACACGACGAGTTTTCCACAAGAAAAAGGGGGTTCTCAGCTGGGTCCCCTAGAGAATGAAGGCGCAAGGAGAAGTAGACGAGTTGGGTTTATCTCTTTTTCCTTTCTTTCCTTTCCCTCAGCACAGTGTGCTCGATCCTGATAGATGAAAAGCGGACATAAGAAATTCACACCAAGAAGATGTGGAATCTGCAATCCCAACAAAGTCAAGAGAGATACTCTGACAGCTCCCCTAATCCTACCACTGCCCCTCTTGTCTCTCTCTCTCTCTCTCTCATGCGCAGTTTGAAAAAGGTTTGATGTCCGCCACTGCCATTAGTTCCCTTTGTCCTCATGAAGCAAAGCAGATCAAGAACTCCAGTTAAGTGGCGGTTGGTGTTTGTTATATACACGTGGGGATAATTCAATACTGTCCAAGAGATCTTTCATGATACTTCATGACTGTCCCAGTAGTTCACTAGGGGCCAGAAACCAGACCCCTCTTGCCAACAGTGTGCCTGCGTGAGAGACTATCCCCAAAGGGAGGAGAGGAGAGAGATAAGAGAAGAAGAGAGAAGAATAACAGAGCGAGACACCAGCTATCACCTCCTCATAAGAGACTGGCTTGGAGGGAAATTGTGATTCCACAACTCCATAATGAAAAAGACTCATATCCACTCCATCAATCAGTGGAAAGAAAGACAAGAGTCCTTCTCCCAGGAACATGGAAGGATCAAGAAAAGGTAAATAGAAACAACCACCCGCGCAGACTCTGATAAAACGCCTCGTTTACTCAAAGCCCATTGCACCTTTTCATGGGGACGCAAGTACCGCGTCTTTTTTGTGCTGCGTATGTTCCAAAGCTCTTCTTCCCTGCGGCTTTGGGAGTCTGACCTTTTACCAGTTTTGCATCATAGGAGATCATTGGGGATGAATGGGTTGGTTTATGTGGAAGTTGAAGGGAATGGGGAAGAAATTAATGGCAAACTCGACCTTGCTGGGAGCTAAAATAGTCAGTTCCAAAGTTTGTTGTTGAAAGGATAGCCTGAATGTAATATCCATAATAAGATCAACTAGTTAAAAGTCTAGCTGTTTTTCATCCCAAGTTATATTCCAACAAGCAGCACTGTCATTTCTTATTCTTGTACATCCATCTGCTGTTGATATATGATGGACCTGGTAGGAAATAGCTGATTCGGCGGCAAAATGCGGCAAAATGCTGGGCTCAAAAAGCTGGAGGCGGTAACTATCGCGCTAATCTTAATCGGGCCATAATGCCAGACCTCACCACCTTCGACACCATCTTCGGGTTGGTCACCTCGCGCCAGAAGAAGACACGCAAAAGATCCTCGTTATTTATTTAGTTTTCTTTCTTTCTTTTCTTTTCTTTTTTTTTTTTTTTTTTACAACTAACGCCAACAACGAATGAGTCTGGATAACGCTGATACCCTTGTTCTTTAAGTTTATGCTTTTATGACCATGTTGAACCACAATAATCCAACCGTTGCCTAGCCACAAACTTCCTAGATTTACGTCCCGGGGCAGCGTCTCCTGCCTCCGGCCTCATACATGCGCGGGGTCATATCGCTATCATACGCGTTTTCCCTTTTTTCTGCCGGCAATGGATTTTTTAAAGTCAGCCGTTGCTTCGGCTATTGCCAAAGGCAGCTCATTTCCCTACAGCTTCGGTGATCGAGTTGATAATAACGACTCCATCTGGACACTTCACAATGGTACTAAACGGGTATGGGTTTAAGACACGGCAGTCAAACTCGGGCTTTACGATCCCTTAGGCTAATTTACTTTTTGATTTCTTGACAATTTAGGAAGACGGTTCTGCCTGCAGTATATTTACCTTTGATGTTGCAGCAAATAAATCCTGCCTAACCCTTGCCAGAAACGCCGTTCGTAAACATCGCACCCTTAGACATCCAGGGGTTATTAAAGTATTGGAAACCATAGAGGTGGGGATTCCTGGTCGGCCTACTGTTAAAGCAATCTAGTTCTTTAAAATTTCCTGGAACAAGAGACATTGACGGAGGGCGTAGACAGACACAAACATTTATGTCGTGACCGAAAGGATTACACCCCTAGCATGGCCGGTAAAACGGCAGAGCCTAAGCGAGGAGACCGCGAAATGGGGTTTATACACAATCGCTGTGAGTTGCCGCTTAAATCTTTAATTATTTTACTTCAAGTCTTCTCTCTGATTCCGGAATCTTTTCTAGTCAACGCTTAAATTTATCAACGAAGATGCGTCGTCGGTGCATGGTGCCGTCAGGGTCTCTTCGATATTCACAAGTGAAAGTGGGGAATGGAAACTTGGCGGATTTGATATTCTAAGCTCTATGAAGGAAGACGATGCTGTTATATACGTTCGTTCCCCCTCGCCCAGTAACCAGATGAATGGGATTGGCTAATCTGGTAGCAGACATATGGTAGCCTTGTGCCAGATTTATCCCGCTATACATCACCAGAGATTGCAGAAGGTGGCTGGGAGGCCATCAAACGCAATCCATTATCTGCTACAGATTCTTACGCTTTCGGAGCTCTTGTTTTTGAAGTTTTCAATGGCACTTTTAGAGGGAATGAACAAGCAGGCCAGACATTAAATATCCCTCCGTCTATGCATCAAAGCTACAAGAGGCTCATGAATCCCAAACCCAAATTGAGGCTTAGTGTTGCTCATTTTTTGGAGCAGGGAATGCGTAGTGGTGGTTTTTTTGAGACCCCTTTAATACGACTCACCCAGGATATCGAAAGCCTAGGTTTGAAAAGTGATGAGGAACGAGAAGAATTCATTAAGTATTTCCCCATATCGATTTTTGTTGAGTCGATTTTATCTCTAATCCAATTCTAGTGGACTAGATGAGATATCGGATGATTTCCCGGAAGATTTCTTTAAAATGAAGGTTCTGCCTGAGCTGCTGAAATCTGTGGAGTTTGGAGGCGGAGGACCAAAAGTCTTTGCTGCCATCTTAAAAATTGGCACCAAGCTCTCAGAGGATGAGTATACAAGTAAACTTACACCGGTTATTGTACGATTGTTTGGCAACCCGGACCGTGCCATGCGCGTTTGTTTACTTGACAATCTCCCGTTAATGATCGACCACCTTTCACAAAAGATTGTCAATGACAAAATATTTCCTCAGATGGTGAGTTTGGCATGGTGAAATAAGATGACAACCAGCGTTCGTTCATACACTAGTATCTAATTTAATCGTAGGTGACCGGTTTTACCGATGTTGCTCCTGTTGTAAGGGAGCAGACTGTAAAAGCAGTGCTTACGGTCATTGAGAAACTCTCTGATCGAACCATTAACGGCGAATTGTTGCGATTTCTTGCCAAAACTGCCAACGATGAGCAGCCAGGTATCCGAACAAACACGACTATATGTCTTGGGAAAATCGCCCGGAATCTAGGGCAGAGTGTATGAATTTTCCCCCCGTTGACTCCCGGACATTGCTAACGATATCTCCCCTTATTTAGTCGAGAGCCAAAGTCTTAACTGCAGCATTTAGTCGGTCGTTGAGGGATCCGTTTGTTCATGCCCGAAACGCAGGTCTTCTCGCTCTGGGCGCAACTCTGGACTTGTTTACTGAAGATGACTGTGCAACGAAGTTGCTACCTGCAATGTGCCCTTGTTTATTAGACAAGGAGAAGTAGGTTTAACAAAACAAAGGTCAAGACTACGAAAACGTTTAGCTGATTTTTAACTAGACTTGTCCGTGATCAAGCAAACAAAACTGTTGATTTATATCTTCAGCGCATTCGCAAATTCAGTTCAACGCTGCCGGATACAGTTTTGCCGGCTCAGAATGTCACGGATTCCCGGGTTGCAGGTGTCGCAGGTGTCGCACGAATGGGGACACCGAACGATACGTCCTGGGCAGGTTGGGCCATTTCTTCATTTACAAATAAGATCACTAGTGCGAAAGGTGAAATCGAGCCCACAGCAAATGGGGGTCATTCTGTTGATGCAGGTCCAGCCCGGTCCTCATCAATGCCACATGTGGGAATACCCTCGTCATCCGTCCAGATCAACAAATCTAAAGAAATTCTACGTCCTGAGGCACCATACCTCTTTCAAACCATATCTAAACCTCGACCTGAAGACCGTAATAATCCTGTGCAGGAAGTTGAAGAAGACACATTCGATGCATTCGATGCATGGGGAGAAATGGATGATGACGGTAAAGGAGACGATGGAGATGATGCCTTCTTTGACGCTAAGCGAATTCCTTCCCCAAGCCCTGCTCCATCTGCTACTCCTGCGACGTTTGACGATGGCGGAGAACCAGATTTTGCCGGCTGGCTAGCAGCTCAATCAAAGGCAAAGGCGAAAAAGCCATTACCTAAAGGGCTTTCCAAGTCATCTACCGCAAAAGGTACGGGGTCTACACGGCCGACAGCCACGTTGAAATCTTCTGTTTCGGGTAGTAGAAGTTCGTCTGTAACAGCTAAGCTATCGTCGCAACCAGCTAAAACGATCGATACAAAACCGAAAGAGAATACAGCCGAGGACGATTGGGGAGATGCCTGGGACTGATATTTCCTACTTTCTTCTTTAATAGCACTATACTATTTGGTCATTCAAGACCATTCATATCCTCATCAGGCCATTTCTCCACACACATATATGTACAACCATTGCAACTGTCAGCATTGGCGCTTCTTGTGGGCGAAATCAATCAGTATTGGATGCGACATTAGAAAACTGAACTAATATAGACCACTAAGTAAAATTGGAGACTTGGCCTTTGAGTAGCGAACTTACAAATCTCGATTCCGGAACCCAAATGCACTGAATAAGCGCTGCAGCTGTCAACTTGACTGGTGACTTACTGAACTTCGAAATCATGGAACTGGGAAGCAATTCCTTGCTGGACAATCATGCTAATTGTGCTAATTGACGATGTGCGAGTTCACTATATCCATTGAACCATGGTTTAAGCACCAATAGAACAATCTCCCCTTACACAACACTACTGCTGATGCAGTCACCAATCCCAGATATAAAAGGGGCACCTGCGAATCATCAGATCGGTGAGTTATCGAGTCAGCAAGAAAAACCTGCCTTTAAATCCACTATGCTCTCTGGCTTTGCTGACATCGGCTTGGAAAAGAATGCGTTTGCTGGTCCATTACTATACTGTAAGTCAGTTATCGTGCCTTGCTGCCGAATGTCACAACCTTTGTTCACTGAGTTTCTCCTCATTGTAGGGGATACTCCAGGAGGTCTCCCTCCATCTGGGACATCTTTCTACTTTATTTGAGCCAGGTGGCTTCTCCACAAACTCTTTGTGATAACCTGCCCAGTCAACTCGAATTGTCAACGCCTTTACCATGCTCGTTGTCGAATCTTGGCTACAAACCTAGCAACACCTTGTATCCATTGTTCACCTTTTATGTCTAGAAGTCAATTCAAAGGGAACAAGCAGGAGCTTCCCTTCTCAGAGAACCTTAGGTCATTTTTATTGTTTGAGAGCATATTTATGCTGATGCCGATCATTAACCACCATTCCCAGATCTTCTAGAGTATCACTAGTCTTGTCGTTGGTGTTTTCTGGAATCACCTGGTGGAGGCCCAATTGTTTGCCTCTTCAATTATTTATTAAACTTGAAGTTCACAGGTCACGTTTCTTTGCGTCTAATTGAATGTATGTATATAGTCTAGTAAATACCATCTCTCGTGTCATCTCTTAAGTAAAATATATGCATGAAGACAGAGGTTACCGTCACTGACATTAGATCTTGCCAAACATGGAGGTTTAGGAATTCCCTTCTCAAATAGACCCAAGTGGACTGCCACAAATTTCCACAAAGCAGGAAACAAATTGAGGGGAGCGGACAAGGGCCAGTTCACAATGTCACGAAGATTTGAGGTAGTGCTACCCAACACATGGTGAGCTGAGGATTCTTCACTTTGCTCGGATTAATTTCCAATGATATTCTGTTTTCATAAGACATGGATAGAGGGAAGTGAAATTTTAAGGGAGTGAACTAACCAAGAATCATATGCGTCTATGATCTATATCTACGGCTTTTGACCATAACCGCCAAAATGACATTCCTTTTACGTAAAGGAAACTACACAAATTAAAAACGCAAAAAGAATAACACATCGTAAAGAAGTGTGATATATAAAATTGCATCATCCGTGAATCGAACACGGGCCTCATCGACACTCCAGAATCTGGTATCAGCAAATAGTGGCAACGATGAATTCTACCACTAGACCAATGATGCCATTTTGATACAAAGCCAACAAATTGCAAATGGTAAATGAGAAAGTGACTTGATTTTCTTTTGATAAACTCTGGTCATTCTAAAGAGATATTTTCTGGCAATGATTCTACACTTTTTTTTTTTTTTTTTTATCAGATGAATTACATTTTGTTGTATCACCAACACAATATGTTAATTGACAGATCATCTGGTGGAGCACTTACAACTCTGTAGATTTGCACTTTAATTGGAAAGAGACTGGCCCTTGCTCCAACCTTCAATTCTAACCCTAACTTAAATTTCACCTACACACTGGATGTCTTCAGCACAGACTCTCCGTCCTGTGACAACTAACCTAAGGCAAGATGGCCGAGCGGTCCAAGGCGCCAGATTAAGGTTCTGGTCTCGAAAGGGGCGTGGGTTCGAATCCCACTCTTGTCACCATTTATCTTTTTAAGTGGTGTTTGGTTAACTATAGAATTATTGTATAAGATGGAATCTGAGCTACTCATCATTCTCTCGAAACTTGGCTACTTTATCAAAAAGCTCAACAATTTCATGAATTCATAAGGCTGTCATTCTATTATACTTGTAGATCTACTTCTAATACAGCTGCTGCAGTCTTTTTGTAACGGGTGTGCTACTGAATGCGGCCCTAGCACTTTCTATCTCCTCGTCTGGAGACTTGCAATTTTTAGCGCAGGTATTTAATGTGTGCATTAGTGTATGAAACACAGTGATCTAATGATTCTCCACCAAGATCTGCGGTATTTAGCTGTATTGATATAATCTATGTAATCTATTTGATCTCACCCTAATTTAGTTAATTGAATTCTGCTCAGCATCGACCTTTGACGCAGAGGGGGGGGGTATTTTTTGACATGTAGAACAGCCATGCTTTGATTGTTAAAGCTGTTTTTTGATTCCACTGATTCTGTTGTTTTTTATATTGACACCAGACACAAATTCGCATAGTTAGAAGAGAACTTCACTCATGTTTTAGAGTGAAATTCAATCATTCAGGTGTAGTATAGATGAGAACATAAAGAGTTGAAGATGGAGCTTCTCACGGAATGCAGCATGACTAAGCAAGTGAGAAGTCTTCATTTTATGAAGAAAATAAGAAGTAACAACTACATGATCAATTACTCAATATAGAATTGCTAACCAGCTTCTATATGTGACTCTATGAGTCTTGTATGATGTCACGACTTCACTCTAGGCGCAGCAGGTAAACAGGTGTTTGATTGCCAGCTCGGTAAGCTACTTCAACGAAATACTAAGATGCTCTACGAAACGGGGGCCTGGGGAAGCCTCTGTTTATATACCCCTTTTCCACTAGCGGTTGCTATGCCGTTGCTAGGCAGTTTCCGTAGAGCGGTTGCTAGGCTGTTGCTAGGCAGTTGCTATCACTCTTTTCAAACAATGCCAGTTTTGGTAGCCTAGTAGCCAACGCCGTTCATAGCGCTGTCACAAGAAAGACTATCAGACTCAGGAGTTCTACAGACGTCATAGCCATATTCTTGAATATAGTTGAATAGAGCAATCAATGTGAGGTAGTTGTTTATATAAATTGCATAGTCAGTGATATTATTATTATTGATTGACTTTCTTTCTAATTGAGCATAAAATAAAATTTTATGAAAAGATATGATAGTTCTTCTGTCATTTTCATTAAAAGATTTAGTTTTTATAAGCTCTAGATGTTTTAACATATCTAAAATACTTGGTTGATGATTGATATATGAAAAGTCTATATATATTTATATTTTGCTAGAGAAAATAATTTATATCTATACTTGTTGAGCATTTTCATTATGTGTTTTTATCTTTCAAAGAACTGAATTATCATTTCATCAATTAAAAGATTTGAACTTAGTATATATAACTTCTTACATACTGTATAAAAGTTCAAAATTAATAGCTCTAGTTTATTATAGAAGAAAGTTTCTATTATATATAAAATTAAAATATAAATGAACTGTTTAATTTGTTTAAAGCATTTCATTGATATATAAAACAGTGATATATAAATTGAATTTTGATCATGATTTGATTGCTAATAATAATAAATAAATAATAATTTATATACTTTTATATATATAATTATATTAAGAAATATTTTTAATATTCTTTAATTTAAAATATATTTAGTTATTAACTATAATATCTATCTAGTTAAATTAGAATTTATCTATCTTATTAATTAAATAATTAAAAAAAATAAACTTAGAATATATAATAAAAAATATCTTGATATCAAAAATAATATTTAATTTTTATTTATAAATATAAACTAAAAATTTATTTTATATTTAATTTTTAGTATATAGATATATATATTTTAATATAAACTCTATATTAACAACTGCTCTTATATGAATAGTGTAAATAATATATATGAATTCTCTATATCACCATTTATTAAGAGGTTAAAAATTGAAGATCAATATATGAACTATATAAAAGTGAATTAAATATTTTCAGAAAAGAAAATATCTACAATAACTTTTTTAACTATTTATTTATATTTTACTTATATTTCTATTTATTATTTAGTAGCTCTTTCAGATGTTAGAAAAAGAATTAATTAATTTAAATATAATAGTAATTAAAAATGAGACAATTGCTATTAGAATCAATAGATAATTTTAGAACAGAAATACTTATTTTCATAATTAACTACAAGATGAGTAGATAAAGCTAAGAATCATAAAATACTTATAAAATTATATTGATACATATTGAGAGTGATTAAACATATTTTTCATAAATAAATGAGAATATTTATATCAATAATTTTACATATATTTTAATATGAGAGATTATTGGTCAAATCATTCATTTTAACTTGATAGTCAATATACTAATATAACTGCGCTGAAAATTGCAAGTCGCTAGATAGAACAAAAAGACAAATTCATTAAAAGAAGAAAAAAAAAATAGAAGAATCAGAAGTAGAATAATTCAAATAAAGAGTTTTAATTATAAAATTATCACTCAGATGTTTATCTATTATACTTCTTGACTGAAATGTGATGTTAAGACTTTCTATACTAGCTTCTTGTCCTCACACTGCTTACTAAAGCACTTCAGGATCAGCACTTCTCAAAAATCAATTCCTTTAAGATCAGCACTTCTGGAGGATAGAATCAGCAGTTCATGAAGAATCAGATCACCACACTACTAATTCCTCATTTCATAGAAGATTAGAGATAAAATCTATTGCTACTCATTCATGTATATAAACACTCTGAATCTCTAAAGTTCCTTCAAGAGATTCAATGATTAGCTACTATTCAATCCTATACATACATTTCATCCATTGCTATTCTCTTTTCTCTATAGCGCTCGCAGCGTCTATACACCTACCCTCTTACAATTTTAATTATAAAGCTTCTCACACTTCCTTTTGACACTTAGTTTATTCATTCTAAGTGTTTTTATATTAAATTTCAAACTTTTTAATCTGATTTTTAATCTTCAAAATAGCAGCTTTATTAGGAATTTTTTTAATATTTTCATCATTAACAAATTTTTAATTAGAATTAAACTGAATTTTTATTTTAATTTTTAAATTACAAAAGCTTTATAATTAATTAAAAAGCTTATAAATTATAACTTTCTCAGTTATTTACTCAATATTCAAATCTTCAATAGTTTTATTAATTTTATTTAGATCTTTTAACTTCAATTTAATATTTGATATAAAATTAAATATATATGTTAAATGTTTTAGAAATAGTAAGTAAAAAGTTTATTTTTTTAAACTTAATAAGATTTATATATAAAAAAGTTTAAAATTATTGAATTTAAATCTATAAAAGTTTAATATTTTAATAAAATTTTAAATATTTATTTAGCTATTTTTTATTTATTTTATGTTTTATTTAAAGTCTTTAAATACATTTTTTAAATAGATTTAAATAAATTTTAACTTTTAACTAAAGTTAAATTATTTAAATAATTTAGCTTTTTAATAAAAGTTTAATAATAAAACTTTATACATAAAAATATAGATCAATTCAATAATTATAATATGTAAAAAAATATATAAATTAAAAAATATATATTTATTTTATTTATGTAATAAAGTTATATAATTTTAATATTTATATGATTTTATAATTATCTAAAATAATATTAAATCTTTAACTATAGATATAATTTTAAAAAAAGATCTTTTTAAATTAGTTAATTGTTAATTTATTTAAAATTTACTTATTTTAACACTAACATAAATTCAAAATGATATATTTTAACTTAAAATAAGTAATTTGAAAATATTTTTCTTTAAAATTTATTAAAAATTAAATAAACTGATCATTAATACTATTACTTTTTATAATTAAAACTAAATCTTGATTTTTTGAAGTTTTTATATAGATTAACTTTTTTTTAATTTATCTAATATTTTAATATTTAAATAAACTTTTAAACTATTTTATACTTTATTATAATTTATATATTTTTATCTAATTATATATTATATTTAAATATAATAATTATAAAATTATTTGATTAATTTTTATTAAATTTTTTAAAATTTTTTAATATTTATTTTTTTGTCAACATAAGAAGATATATTAAAATTATATTTAGCAGTTTATTCTTTTTTAAAAGAAGTAGTATTTTTATTAATCTTTAAAATTTAAAAAATTATTTTTCATAGATACAAATGAGAAGAGAATAAACTTTAATATCTTCATCTAGAATTCATACAATGAGACATTTCTCTTATTCAGAACTTAATCATTGTATCTGCTAATGAACTATATTGTGATTGATTTTACTAGCTAATCAGTCATATAAAATGATTCATGAAAACTTGTAAGCTGCATTTGCAGCTTTAACAGAAGAAATAAAGTCATTTTTTAATTTGTCAATCACTTTTTAAATAGATATTTCACACTGAGAGTTAATTTTAAAAAGGTGGTGAAGATAAAGACACATTAAATTGAAAGATGAAGAATTTATGTAGAAGGTAATTAAGAGGGCGTGGCGATTAGCTCAGGTTTGATCTTAATACATATCATAACACAATACAACGTTTCTACACTCATCCTTGCTCTTGATGCTTACCACATGCAAGGACCTATGGCATTGTTGGCAAAGCCAGCTTCACAGCTTGATTTCACCCCGGCACCATTCTTCACGCAGAACCCATCATTTTCTGAGGTTAATGTGGGGTAACCGTCAAATGGTTCAGGTTCAAAGATCTCATAACCAGGAATTAATTAAAATTTGCTAGCAATCTAGTAAAATGAAAAATTGACTTGATTTCTCGAGTTAGAATCTATGGTAGGATTTGATCCTACTTATAAGGTCAAATCCTTACTACGAATCCGACCGGATCCGGTTGAACGGATCTATCATAATCCTTATTGGAGATATTTATTTCGGCCTCTACTAGGAGAGCTAGAGGTAACATTATTGACTGATATCAGCCATTAGCAACGAAGCTATTTCGGAAACAATAGTTCTCACCACAACCAGCACTTCAATTGTTATCTCGTATATGAAACTGTCACTGTTACTCATATGAAACCTTCTCCTTTATCCTTTATTTTCTCTTCCTTTTATCAGGAATAGGGTGATTCAGTTCCTCAATATATAAATGCAGTTCAACCTCTCATACAACTTAGTTAGACAGCAGCATGCGAACGACATTCTTGACTACTTCCGTGGCTTACATTTCTCTCGTAGTTATATGGTCCGGAAGGTATTAGCTAGTTATCGAATCCGGTCATCCAAGGCTACTTAATATTTGGCGCATATAGCTTCTTAGAAATAGGAGGTTGACTCTGGCACAACAAGCATGTCAAGGCCCCTGGAGGGAAAATTTGCCACTGCCAAAGGGGACTCGAGAAGTAATGCACATATATTTTATTTATTTTTAATCCCAAGTGACAATGATGTGAAATCCTCATCTTTCCTCGCTAGGAAATAGGTTACATACACCAGAAGGAAACAAATAAAAATCAAACATTAATTATATCACCTTTCCCGCAGGAATCGGAGCAGCCATTGCTCAAAAATCTGGCATCTAAAGGCTGCTCCCTTCTCCTCAACTACATCTGCACTTCCTCAATAACGCGAACTCGTCAGCTCCGTGAGGAGCTGACGAAAACCCACTCCATGCGCTGCATCAGCGTCCAGGCGGATCTTAGCGAACCCGCCTCAGTGGTCAACAAGATTCTCGCCAGTGCCAGAAACCACACTTCTCATCAATGCATCGACTATATAGTCTTACCATTGATGCTCTAATCAACAATGCTGGGATTGCGGGGAATATCCGTCTCAATGACCCCGTTCGTGGGCCCATAGATGGAGAATTTTCTACCGGCATGTACACAGTCAATGTCCTCGCTCCCTTGCTCCTGACCCAGGCGGTGGCTCCATACCCGCCACGGGACCGATCAGGACGTATTGTCGACTTCTCCAACGTCAGTGCCAGCTTGGGCTCTGAGGGCCAGAGTGTCTATGGCGGTACGAAGGCAACCATTGAAGCCATGACGCAGCAAACCTGGGCGCGTGAACTTGGTGACCGAGCTACTGTCAATGCGGTCAAACCCGGCCCCGTCATTGGGACATGTTCTGGGAGTCCGGGAAAGATTTTTGGAATAGAATGCAAGACTGGCAGGACAATGCACCTGGCAGCATGATTGTTGTGGATGAGGGGATTTACGGGGACGGGTGCGGAGAGGCTGAGTGAAGAGAGTATGAAGCTTGTGGTGGAGAAGATGGGTGGTAGAAAGACGGCCGACATTTCCTGATGGAGTTGCTGGAGTGGTGGGGATGCTGTGTGCACGACGAGGGATGGGCAGTGGCGTACTGGGAGTTTGGTGTGTCCTAATGGTGGAGTAAAAATGAGCGTATGAAGGGCTGCTAGAGACAATGATCTTTTCCTTTCCAATGTCTTTGCCATTTGTGCGACTCTTATAGCTGAATACCTATCTTGTTAGTTTGCTGGCTATGCTTCTCTTGAAATTATCCATTGGGGCTCAATGAATCTCGGAACGAGGTGGTGGGGCGCCGTATCCCCAAAAATGATATACAATTCGCTGGATTGTAAGATTCAGTGGTGTGTCAGGTCGCTTATTTATATACTACAGAGTTGACAATTTAGGAATCGTGGCTCCTTGTGGTATGTAATTGAAATAGTTAAATGTAGTTTGAAATGATATCACGACGGTTCCCCAATTCAAGTACCAACCTCCCTTGATGCCATCTGGGGGGTGTGGGTCCGAAGCTGTGTCAGCTACCGCTGATAACTAGTTAGAAGGTGGGGGATATGGTTAATGAAAGATTTCCACGATTTTTCGCCGACATGCTTGATTTTTGGTTGCGAATCGCAAAAAGAGATTGTGGCATTTTATGACTATAGTTCCTGCAAAGTTGTCCATGGACCGTCAATCGTAGATTCGTCGGTAGGTTAGCTATCTACGCCCAAATGAAGGCGAAATGATTCGCTTTGACGACGCAGCGTTGCCCTTCAACTGAAGAAAAGGTGACCAATCGAGTTCTCCTGTCCTGAGGGGGTTTTGCAATTGGCGCATTAGCATTCGGGGTTCGCCCGGGATATTGTCTCCGAGTAAATCAAAGTCGCTGCCTAGTTTCGCAGGGCTGATGTCAGCGAGTGGGCGAAGCCAAAGAATGCCGTGCAGAAGATGCGGGAAGCTTTGACTGCAGTGCGGAGTAATAAATATAGCGCTTGGTCTGGCTGTCCCCGTTAGAGTTCTCTTGTCCAGCTCGACAGGCTGCAATCTACTTTCAAAGTAATTGCTGAACATCTGATGTTCAAACTCTTCCGTTCAGCATAGTTAACGACTATTTTATTTCCCCATTTAAGCCTTGAGCGAGGCCATTGGGATGGCTTCCAACCTCGACATCCCGGACGAAGCGCCGCCTCCCTATAACCCCATTGACCCGCTCACCCCAGCTTCAAGCATTGAATCTGCCACAACAGCAGATGCAGCAGAGCCGCCCTTTGATGACAATGATATTCAAATCCCATCCTATGGCAGCTTAGTACCTCCTAACTTTATATCTGCAGTTCCATACTTTAGGGAGCGGGCTCCATCACTCCCTCACCAAGTTGAGTCACTGGAGCCAGTTCTCGAACATATGCTCACAATCTATCCCCGAAGCCAATCGAAAGACTACCAGCGTTTTCCTAAATGTCTGCGGCCTCGCTCTACCGAAATCACCCAGCATGACTGGAACACATTCCTCAACTACCTATTCCCCACCCATCTGGCTCCCGCAGGTAGCCAGCCTCATCTACCCCGAAAGCTTCGTGCTGAGATCGAGCGCGATCGCAAGGACTGTGCGCAGGAAGGTGACGACGGGCGCCAAGCAAGGATATACGCAGTCATCTCCGAGTGGAACCAGTGCTTTTTTGCACCCAGATCGGTTAGAATTCTCTGTATCTATGTTTCATCCACGGGTTCCCCACCCCCAACACATCTGTGTCCAAAGTGTTATCCCTCAGCTGTGAGGTCATTGCCTGTACGGAGTGGACCTTCCATGGATGGATCCAGTCTTGTCCGGACCGGAACGACCCCTGCATTTCCAGCACAATACTCAAACCCTCGTTGCCCGGTAGCGGGCCATTCGAACAGTAACTCTGTTCTTACCCCAGAAGTCAGCATAGTCACTGCGCAGGGATCCACTTCGATCCCGTATCCAACTCGGTATCGCAATTGCGGAATGGCGGGCCACAGCGCATATGACTCCAAATCCGCCCCATCATTTGGAATTACAGGTGCCATCGTGAACTGGGCCACTCAGTTTAGTGAACGTGCCGAACAATACGGCCAATGGGTCGGCGAACAGGCAACTGTGCATGGGAAGCGGGTAGAGAAATGCAGCCAGAAGTATGGCCGGGTGGTCGAAGAGCAGGCCAAGGCTAAAGGTGAATTCATAGAAAAGCAAGCGAAGTGGCTTGGAAGCATGGGGCGAGGTCTCGGATTCCACAGGACACATCCCTGGGGCTCCTTCGCGAACAAGCATCATCACCATGGTTTTCCGCACAGCGGCCCATCGGCACGCCATAACCCCAGCCAGTTTGATCACTGTTGCACTCGCGGCTATGCTGGCTATGCTGGCTATGGACATCCATGGGTTGGATGGGAAAGCCGTCGGCAAAATGGACGCACAGGACAGCTTCAGCGTCAGCGGAACGCATCCGTCTCATCAACGTTATCTTCATCCTCCTCGTCTTCGTCATCTTCTTCGTCATCGTCATCTCCATCATCGTCTTCAGATTCGGATTCCTCATTCCCGTCCTCTCAATCTTCATCCTCCGACAGACATGCTGTAGGCTTTGCAGAATTCAGAGAGAAGATCCGTAGCATTCGGCGGAAACACGAACAGAGTCAAAACAGCGCTCTGGTGGTGGCGCACCGTCCGGATGTCAATTCCCTCCGCCAGGAACTCCGTATGCTTAGAACGGCGTACAAGCAGTTCCGCTACTGCAAGAAAAGAAACCACAGCTCCAACGTCCATAAATTTCCACCATGGGCAGCTGCACGTAACTCTAGCAACAGCACCACCGGTGATATGGAAACCAAGGAAGCTCAAGTCGTCCTGAAACAGAATATACGAAACACCAAGAAGGAATTCCGCGCTTTGGTTTCGCAGATTAGAAACGAGAAGAAAGAGATATTGCGCCAAAGGCGACAGAGGAGAAAGGAAGCCAGGAGAGAAAAGAAGAAGCAGAGGAAGAAGAATGAAGGAAAAAGGAAGTGTAAGTCTTAAGGACATTTTCCGGGCGAATGTTGAGATTAGTGGTGTTGATATGCCTCACGTTAAAATGTAACCTCGTTTTTCTCCGCGATACATCCGTCATGACCCCCGCCTTATTCCTTTTTCCCAGTATTGCTTCATTGCCCACCTACAAAATTGAGGAAAATGCCTTCTCTCCTGTGAGCAAGATGTTCATGTTCAAGTTACCTTCACAATTTTATCAGCTTTACAGATTTCTCTGTTATTCATCACACACTGTCAGATATCATCAGCCTTTAGCGTCGAAGCTATTCCGGAAGCACGAGTCCTCGCCACGCCGGCACTTCAATTTTTATCCCGGCCTCCACTTATATAAAACCTTCTTTCTTTTCTTTTCTTTTCTTTTTATCAGCAATAGGGTGATTCAGTTTCCCAATATATATAAACATGGTTCAACCGTTTAGAAAATTTAGTGAGCAGTATGTAAATGACATCTCTTTTATCATATCAAGAACTGTGCATACTTTCATTCATATAATACTAGCAAGATACCAGAGACTTAATTCTAATCCTCAGTTTCGGTTGAAGTATATTCATGAATATTGTTGCAGGCACTAATCAGAAGATGAGAATTTTATGAAAATTATTGAGACTAAAAGATATGATTACAAAATGTACATGCTTTTAGTTCATGTTTTTTATTCTCACTCAAATTGATATATTGTAATTCTGTCAATTGCATAGCTCACGTTGTGTTTAATACATATTGCAATCACCCACTTCGAATGTAATAAACAGGGAGAGAGAAAGATAGAGATTGTATATATATATATATATATGTGTGTGTGTGTGTGTGTGTGTGTGTGTGTGTTGCCGGCTTGGAAGAACTGCTGATTTATCCAAGGTAATTAAGGCTGGCACTACCATTTTGCAAAATTTTCAACAGCAATTTCTGTGCCAAAACCCCAGCTAGGATGCTGAATAAATACATCATCACCAGTCATCTTTTTGTTTTTCCTCGATGACGAGCAGAATAATCCACCCTCTCATAATTCATCAGTCACACTATCAACCCACATGATACCTCACCGCACGGTCTCATTCCTCTCCACAAGATCACCCACGCCTAGCGCTCTCCCCACTTTAACCCGAAAGACCCTTTCCTTCTCCTTTTTCTCCATTTCTCCGCCATTTTTCCCCATCTCGCCAACCTCCTCTCCCTCGTCAGGATGACCATCGTCGTTGGCAGCGGAATCGGCATTCGCATCACTCTCAGTCTTGCGCGACGCAGTGTTAGAAGCTTGTTTTCGACCATCATTATTCTCCTTGCGGTCCTCCTTCATCCATAGCGGCCGTAGATCCATCCTCATGGCATAAGCATCTTCGCCATCAGCGTAGTATTTAGCCTCGATCTTCTCGATCTCGAACCCCAACGTGTCGCGATAGAGACGGAGGGCAGCGTTATTGGAGACACGGACGTGAAGTGAAACGTATTCAGCCCGGTGTGATTCAGCCATAGCGCGCTCTACAAACCATTTCAAAAGAAATTGATCACGTTAGGCAAATTGTATGTATGCAGCTAACCTATTGACGGAGAGATGATGAAATATATATATATATCATAAATAAAAAAATAAAATAAAATAAAAAAACACACATACGACTCATCTTCATCAACCGCTCCGCAATCCCTAATCGTCTATGCGTTCTCATAACACTAAGGCTGGTAATGTGGCCGTGAGCAATGCCGTCCGTGGGCTCTTCTTCCATCTTCGCGAGCACATACCCAACCACCTTGGGGTACTCGTTTTTTGGGCTGTTGTGTTTGGGTCGCACGACAGCAACGAAGCTCAGCTGCGGCCATGAGAGGGCATGATAGAGGTAATATTTGAGGAAGTAGTTTTCAGGGAGATTTGTGATGTTGCAGGTCTGGATGGAGGGGAGAAGAGAGATGTAGGAGGGGTACGAAGAGAGGGGGACGATGTCGACCATTTTTCGTTATATAGTATATATGTTTCTTTCCCTATGTCTGCCAGACGTTGCAGACAGTTGGGAGGGGCGCTCGGTATATTTTGATGCAGTTGCGCCTGTAGAAGTGCTGGCGAAGGCTGGCTGATATTTCAGACTTTGCGGAGGTAACATTGGATGATCAACAGTAGTTTATCAGAGCTGTAAGTTATGTAACTAAACTAAACCACGTGAGAAAAATATACATACCCAACCCATGCCGTTATTTTAGGGTTTCGCTCGCGTGGGTTAAGGGTTAAATTAAGTTAACTACGAACCTTAAAATTTAATGTGATATATAAGCAGCGAATTTATTTATGACAACCTGTCTACGGCACCAACAGACATTCGTCGCGGTTGTGTGTCAGCATTAGGAGCCTGTGTGGAGTTTTCAACTGGTATCTAATTATCCTATTTTAATACAGTATTTCGGGGGAAAGTTCCGCTCAACTCCATTGCCCCTCCATGTCCGTGAAATACCAACTCTCCAATAACTAACTATATATATATATATATACAGTCGCTCTGCCAACCGATATTGTTCGTGCCATGGATATTGTCCGCATAGTGGCGCAGTTTATTCGTCGTCTCTGCCGTTGTAATATTCCTTTGCATGTTTCCTAACTTAACCTCCACACATCCGAGCAGAGAGCAATCCCGCAAAGGCTTCTCATCCCTATTTTGCTCTTCACATTCCTCACGTTTTTCACAACGGCAGCCGCCTCCATCCTTGCAACAGTTATCTTCACTGTTTTCAAAATAGTCATCACGACCAAGGCAGTGAATTCAATATCCATGCTAAATTAGGGCACTGGTATGCTGGCGTTCATGTGGATACAGTCGGCTCTGTACTCCGATTTTCCCTACATATCCGCAACATCTTAGCATGTAGCTGCCCCGTGGTAACTCACGTAGACGGAAAATTTCCGGAAGTTGATAAATATATCATTACATAGCGCCGGAAACTCAATAGAGAAATGATACCCCTTCCCGCCTTAGCAATTAAGATATCCCAAATGCTGTGCTTGATAACAAAATACCGAACCTCTAAACCTGAACTCCCCCAAATTCCTAATAATCACCATACTGCGAAAACGATCTCTGCAACCGCTGTCTGGCCCGCCATCAACCCGCCATGAACAGGAAGACATACCCCAGTAACAGGAGCTAACCAATTCTTTATTACTAAGAAACGCCACAGCATCAGCAACGCCCAGGGGATCAACCGCCCATTTCAACGGGTACCACTGTATAACTTCCTCAAAAACTTGGGGATTAGCTTTAACACGCCCCGCCCAGACCTGCGTCTTCACAGTCCCAGAAGCGACGGCATCCGCCCTGATGCCAAACTGCGCATACTCAACTGCAATAGATCGAGTTAAGATGAACAAGACCAGGCCGTTGACGGAAGCTATGTTGACAACGCCCCTGCGTCTGGCGCTTTTGAGGGAGTTGATAAAAGCACGGAAGAAAAAGAACGAGGTGTCTAATTTCACGGCTGTTTCGTGCTATCAGAGTTTCAGGGTCATTGGGGCCCAGCGAGTCGGAATATGATGGCGCCGGCGGAGTTGACCAGGGGTGTACACGTCGCCATCCATGGCAAGGACTCTTAGGGCTAGCTGGGCCACTTGGGCGGGATCCGTGATGTCGCAGGTTAAGGGGTAAAATTTGTCATTATTTTACGGTCCTCTATTTTCATCCTTTCTCTTGCTAAGCGTGGTAGTAAGTTCGTTCGCTTTTGTTTTTTCCGTCGATATCGACTGGAGCCACACAATCGTGTGTGACGTTGCGAGTTTAACGGCAATGGCCCGGCGATATCGCCAGCTCCACCCCCCGTTATGACTGCTTCTGCTGGTATCATGGGCTCCCTTTATCGGTTTTCAACTAGATTCGACGAAGCCCGTTTAAAGAGATACTTATTAATGGCGCGCTTGCTAAGGATCAATCTTATTTTCTCACCTCTATCGAATTATACACGACCCTAGCATTGCTTTATTCTTCGGAAACCTGGAGATTTCACATAGTGGAATTGACAAACCATGAAACGCCCAGGATGGAACTTGTTTGCTTAGTAAGAGAGGATATTAACGGCAATTCATTGAGGTATGTGGTTGTTGAAGTATATTTGTTATCGTGTAGCAATTCACAACTTACACAAGGGCCTCTGGAGATGGGACAAGGTGTAGGAATAGTCAAGGAAAAAATAATACTTAAGAGTATCCGATGTAAAAAGGAAAAAAGAAGAAGGGTAAAGGGGAAACATTGGTATCTAATGCGAGATAATAAGGAAAAAAGGCTAAGAATATCAAACGCCAAAAATGTATCACAAAACTTTGCAGGTTAAAACGAAAAAACACAATCGGACAGAACATGCTTGACAATATAGATCAGCCTTCCGCCCGTCCAGAACCATCAAGTTCTGTATCCAACATTTGTGCCAATTAATCGTCCTCGGCATTAGATTCACGTGAAGCTCTCTCTATCAACATCCTTGAATTTTCAGGGTGATCGAAGGTAGAAGTTCCAGTGGACTTGTTCGGCGGTTTAGAAGGGTTTGGCATAGGTAGATTTCTGTGCGATCCACTCGTCGATTCTGGCCTCGAGCCGTGACCAGAACATGGTATTGCTGGCAATATAGGCCTGTACTTATGTCTTTTATTACCGAGCCATTGGTATTCCTTGCGAAGCAGAGCATTTCGCAGTTCTTCAGACCGATGAATTCTGGAACGCTCCTCTCGATCCGATGGAGGGGAAGTTGGATTGTTGGTATTCTGGTTGCTGGGTTCATCATCGGTTGAATCAATCGTGACAGGTGCCAGTTGCGAGGTCGGCCGAGCTGGTGTTTGGGGATCTGGTGGCGGATGAACGGATAAATTAGCGGTACCATGTTCTGGTTGTGGCGATGGCACAGGCGTTGGGTGTCCTGGGTGAGGCTGGGCAACTACTGTCAAATGTTGAGGGATCTGGGAGGCCTGAAGCATGTTCAAATGTTGGACTAGTTCATTATATGCCAAAGCGAGATTGCTGAATTGACTGCGCCAGTGCTCATTTTCTTTTTTAAATGCTTCAGATTTTCTTTCCTGGGCCATTAGAGAGCGCTTTAGTCGAAATGGCTCATCCTTCAACTTCTGCTCCTTGTTCTTCCCAGTAGCAGGATCTACTGTCTTCCATTCAATCCACGCATTTTTGTACCTGGATCGTTCGGACGTAGCCTTTTGGAGCTTCCGGTGGTATTCCTGAAGCTGTTTCGCCACATCTTCGGGAGCAACCTCAATACACCTAGTGTGTAGCGCCGGGGTAGAAGGAAAATAACCTAGGGGTCCGCATATTTTGGGGTACGGGGAAATGTACTGTTCTGGTTTTGGGACGTGACTGAAAATCTCTCGGTATTGGCTAGCAAGTATATCCTCTGGTCCAAGGTTGAAGTTTTTGGTGATATCGTTTTCGACAAATTGGATATAGGCGGATTTATTCTGTACAGGACAGGCCCCCTCTGAATGCTGAGTATCGTTGTCTTTGGAGACCTCTTCCGCTAGAAAAGTATCAATTGGAAACGTTCCATCGCCAAATAGAGAATCCTGGAGGAGCTCTCTTTCAGGATGGGACCCATTCAGTCTGTCCAGGGACGGTTGGACGCTATCAGAGGTGCAAATTTCATGCTGATCTATTGATAACGATGTCATGGAAGAACGATTCGATGAACAAGACGTACTAATAGTGGTTTCCGATTCCGAACCAATCATCTGTCCATCTTCAGGACTGCTTATCTGCCCAGAATTGCTAGGACTTTCATCAAGCCTAGCAATTTGATCATGGTGTGGTATGGTCGTTTGAAGTTGGGTGGAAGGAGGAAAACTGGCATCGCGCGAGCCACTGCTGTCAGTAGATCTATTCGCATTTAGAGGATTAAAGTCACACCTCCCAGGGAGTTCGAAAGACGACCACAAGCCAGGGATCTCGGGAAGTTCTGGGAATTGAAAATAGGGAGGGAAGGCGGAAACATCGGTTGGCTGGTCGTTCTCAAGCTCGAGATAAACAGACGTAACCGTCGAAGGATGTGAGATTTCACGAGATGAGGAATTTCTCTCAATGTGCTGCATCTTCGAAGGGCGTGTATCATTACCATTCTGGTTGTCGGAGAGATAAGACAAGTTTTCGACCTCATCAAGCGATCTCTTCCCGGACTTGATATCATGGCCATGTTGATTCCCGGTTGGAGTCACAGGCTTGGGGTTCGGGATATCCTCTGTTCCTAAAGCAGCTTCAAGTGCTAGGGTTTCATTGCCGTGAACTGGCCCAGTTTCGATTCTATGTTTTGTTGATGCTGACGTATTCTGCCCAACATCATAGGAGAGAAGGGACCCATCGGAGTATAGGCTATCCATAAACTGGTTTCCCCATGGCTGTTCGACCGGGATTCCCTCGTATGCAAACAAGCTATCGGGGCTTTGTTGTCGAGGTGGGGCATCCGAGGCAGCCGAAGGCTGGTCACCTGCCTCGGAAACTGACGTCTTCTCAGGACTAACTGGACGAGCCTGCTGTAGGTGTGATCCAGGGAGATGTGTGAGCCCTGGAGCTTGATTCATAACGGGCCAACAAGAAGAAAGATCTTGGGTATTTTGTGGAGCAGAAATAGATGAGCTGTATGAAGAAGCATAAATACCTTCTAAGCCACAATTAAGACGATCCATTCTCTTGAGGGATGGAAAGCCTACGCTCAACAACTAGAAGGAGCTTAATTGAAATCAATCAAACCACTAGCCAGCAAGTAATCGAAGATAAAGCACGTCTGAGACCTGATATCAACCAGAGATGGCGGATTCTGATGACAGCAGACTTACCAAACCTCAAGAAATAGTCTAACTGATCATCCACCAAATTTCAGAGACAATTGTTTCCTATGGAAGAAGAATAAACTTGGCAGAACACATCTTGACAAGCACCTATGTCTTGTATCATAGAACCCGCAAAATGCAAAGCAACAAACAAATGAAGTTGTCCGCGATTTTTACCTAAATTTTTTGGATATCACAATCGAGTCTAACTATTTTGGGAAATGCGTCACTGGTTGTCTGAATTACGTCAGCGTCATCACGTGCAGCTCTCTCGGGGACAAATGATTTGAGCGTCTAACAGGACATGGTCCACACGGATTGAACGAATAACAAATGTTACCAAGAGGTGTTTCGCTGTCGTCTTATTTCTACCATTAGGTATTCTCCTTAATATAATAGCTATTCCTCCCTAAGAGCAAGATGAGCGTTATTCTCTGTACTGGTAAGTTGGTGTTGGTTTCACCCCTTTGGAATAGCAGCTGATGTTTTGACCTCAGCTGGGTATGACCATACAATCCGGTAAGACCTAAGCATTCCTCAACCGATTGACTTGTGGGGAAGTTAACCCCACTGCGATAGGTTTTGGGAGGCCCTTTCTGGCATTTGCTCGCGAACAATCCAGCACTCAGACTCCCAGGTAAACCGCCTATGTATCACTCCAGACAAGCGTTATGTCGCAGCTGCGGGGCGGGACAATGTGAAGCTTTACGATATCAAGTCCACCAACCCAAACCCCGTTATGAGCTTCGATGGCCATACCAACAATGTCACTGGTGTTGCATTTCATTGTGAAGGCAAATGGATGGTCACGAGTTCGGAAGACGGGACAGTAAAAGTATGGGACACGCGCATTGGGACCCTGCAGCGAAATTATGTACACCAGGCACCGGTCAATGATGTCGTAATTCACCCCAACCAAGGAGAGCTGATAACATGCGATCGTGCCGGCTTTGTTCGGGTCTGGGACTTGGGTGAGAGTAAATGCACTCACCAACTTCAACCTGAGGAAGATGTTGCCATGGCGAGCGTAAGCGTTGCAAGTGATGGTTCTTTATTGTGCGCAGGCAACAACAAGGTATCTGCTTTCCCTGCCCTCTTTCCTGTGAAAACAAAAGGTAAATTTTATTCTAATTTGGGACATGAACGTTAGGGAAATGTATATCTCTGGCGGATGATCCAGGATCGGGATCTCACTAAAATCGTACCATTCATCACATTCCAGGCGCATAAGGACTACCTCACCCGAGTTCTACTTTCTCCGGATGTCAAGCACCTCGCCACATGTTCAGCAGATCATACTGCCAAAGTTTGGTCGCTCGATCCGGCCTATGGGCAGCCCAGGGATACTGATGAAACGACACAAGGGGCAGATGGAGAGATAGACAATGAGAAATCACAACCCAAGGGTTCGACAGCGGCAGCAACAGACTCGAGACCCATTACAAACGGCCAACATGGCGCTTCTCGTGATGGTATTCGTGATGGTATTTCTTCAACTGGTGCATATATTTTTTGGACGTCGCTAATCCGTACCCTAGACATATTCCTGGATCCATCGAAGGGTAATCAACCCCTTACGGACACCAACGGCTCGACGAACCTGTTTCCTACCCCGTCCGATGCGCCCATAGATCCCAACACCAATGCCCCATATCTTGAGGCTACCTTAGCGAACCATCAACGGTGGGTGTGGGATTGCGCATTCTCTGCAGATTCAGCCTACCTTGTCACTGTTTCCAGTGACCATTACGCTCGTTTGTGGGAGCTTTCATCTGGCCAAATCATTCGTCAATATAGTGGACACCACCGTGGAGCGGTTTGTGTGGCGTTGAACGACTATTCAGAACCTCGATAAGACGGAAATATAAACGTGACACCGTCAATGATTTCGAAGAGTGTTCGGAGAGAAATATTACTTTTTTTTGGGGGGGGGGGTAACATAACGGCTAACGATATTGATGATTTGATCACTTGTTTCTTTTTTTCATGACAATTTTCTTGTGTCTAATTTCATTTGTTAGCGAGGCGTCGGAATGGTCATGATAAATGTCCTTTGTTTTCTTTCCCATACCTCGGCATGGCCCGTAACCAACGAGGCAATTAATGTGAATTCGCATGGTGTATTTATGTTGGGATACAAGAAACGTTTTATCAGCTACACAATATAATGCTTTGATTTTGCCACATGGATTTTGGCCCTTCTTGTTCCCTCCTTTTCACATGTACCACTTGTTAACCCAGGGTTAGCATATGACGAAGTTTCGATGAATAAGGAGACAGCAGACTTCCAGTCAAAAAGCCAAACACCTCTGTCAACATTCAATCCCTACGAGTTCTCATCACCCGACCTAACTAGCTGTAAATTGACACCCTAAATCCCATAATGCTAGTATCCAACAAAATGATGAGACATGGGGAAACCCCGGTCACAATCACCAAATAATAATGAAAAAGAAGGTATCAAACGTCAATCGGACCCTGGATCACTTGGGTCAAACAGGAAACAAGATATATGTCAAATTTTATTACTTCGTCCCAAACCATACAATATTCAAAACCAGATCCAACCCCTTATCCTCAGCATTTGGATACTTAAACGTCCACATCCCATCGAGTTTAACATCCCAGTATGCGCCGGATGCAGAATACATACCCCGTTTCCCAGCTTTTTCTATCGACTCTGCTGCTTCAGGCGATGCTACGCCTTGTTGTATGATTGTGCAGTTCACGTTGAAGCGGTATGGTGAGGTGGGAGGCGTAGGGGTGGACTCTTCAGGCGTCGTAGCTTGGATGAGTGATTGGAGGACTTCATTCTATTGTTTTTGGCGGTTAACATCCCACATGAAATTGCAAGTTGCTCGTTTTAGGTTTTGAGATGGAGGTAGAAAGGCATTGTCCGATTTGGTGGGGGCGTTAAGGGGCGGGTGGCACGAGCAGCGAAGGTAGAGGTCGATGTATGTACAATGTGCTCAGCAACAGACAGATAAACGTACAATTATTTGAGAGCTCCATTTGCTAACCTGTTCGTGGTCGTAACTCTGAACATTTTGCAGGGCCGAATCGCATGCCTATTTAACAACAAATGATGATGTCAGTCATGTATTTTTGTCGCCGTCAATGTTGTTTTCATTGTCTCCAGGGCTATTTGAAACTCTCCGGACAAAGACATACCTGAGTTGCAATTTTGGTCAAGTCGGCAGTTGGGACAGGCTATGCATATCAATTAATACTTGGATATGGAAAACTAAGTAGGGGGGAACATAAAGCGGCCGCTCAAGCTCTGACAGCATGAGGAGCAGCCTATGAATCATACGTACGAGGTTACCCGTAGCAGCTTCACCCAACATTATTACTCAGAAATTTATGAAAAGGAGCTAAGTTGGTTGGCATATACAAAGTTATCTTTTGGTCAATATGAGACAGTGATAATTTCTTTATTCTTCGGAAAGAGAGGTTTGATTTTTGTATATAACATGCTGGTGGGTCTGCGCACGAAGATGTAAACAGTTCAAGATAACTTAGGTAAGCCAACCATGCAAACCTCGGAAAGACAGAATGTGGTTACAGAAAAAAAAAAAAAAAAAAAAAAACAACAACAAAGATTTAAATATAAATTTTATACCTATAACTGCCACACATATTACTATTGTATCTTCATTTAACATTATTGTTCTTAACACTAGGGTCAGGGGTAGGTTAGGATTAGGGTTAGTTAAGGGATAATGAGAAATGATAGTCGCTAACGTCAAGAGCAGAAAGAGAAGTGTGAGGTATGTGTGATATGACAAGTAGTTTAAATTTGGGGGAGCTTGTTATGGTTAATTATAAGCCATGTCGAAGGTTGTTTTGGTCGAAGATATAAAACCATGTTTAATGTTAGCTCCGCTGCATTTCCGCGCTTATGAGCGATACGAGACGTTATTGGCCAATATTAGCGCGACTGGCCTTGACAAACTCAGAATCTGCGATTAAGATGTTGACCTTGGAACTCAACGCCTTCCAGATTAATTAGGGGTATCAAAAGTGAGATAACACAATAGTTAGGTGGATATGTTACATATATAGTTGACCATAATTACCCACTTAAAAAAATAATATTCTTAAGCTTGCCAACTATTAGATACCAGTTTAGCTCCTTCTGACGTCTGAGCCTATGATGTCACTTTAAAGCCAACATCAGATCAGCCAACCAAAATTAAACTCACCTTCACGTGACAATGACGGAGCTTTCTATTCAACTCACTCGAGACTCAGCTCTCCGGAGCTTCTTGAGACAATTACACCCGTCATCCAATTCACGCAGCAGAGACGGGACATCACCTGGGAAGCCCATTCTTGTCATATATCCTGTATATGTTTTATTTGGGCCGTTTATATCTCTTGTTTATCTTATCGTCTATCACCTAATTCCTGGACCAAACATAGCTTTCAAATACCCACATATTCTGGTGCATTGAAGTTAAAATATGTCGAGCCAGCCTCTCCTCCAGTCTAGTCCTGGTACGTTTATGTCAATCTTACCTCTGCTGGAGCTGAACAAGCTACCCCTTTATGACACCTCGCATTTTCGCACATGTACCATGGACATATATATATATGCACCAGCCTCCTAAAGATTGTCAATTCATTCTAACACAAAACCTCCCTGAACCAAGCAGGCAAACGCATCGCCATCCCCACCCGCGTCGAACCAAAAGTCTTCTTCGCCAACGAACGAACATTCCTCTCATGGCTCAACTTCACTGTTCTTCTAGGTGGCCTAGCATTGGGGCTTCTCAACTTCGGTGACCGTGTTGGCCAAATCAGCGCCTCACTGTTTACCTTCGTGGCCATGGCGGCCATGATATATGCGCTGGTAACGTTTCATTGGCGGGCGAAGAGCATCCGGAAGCGAGGTCAGGGCGGGTTCGATGATAGGTTTGGCCCCACCATATTGGCAATCGCGCTGATTGCGGCTGTCATTGTGAACTTTGTGTTGCGGATTCGGGAGGGGCCGAAGGGGAAGAGTTGAAAATATTAACATTATGGATGACCGTGTGTGTCATCGTGGGTGGCATCTCGTATTTTTTTTTTTCTTCTCGCTTGACATGGCATTTGGTAGAGATATATGAAGTTTTGGACTGTATCTTTGATTGGCTATGTGATGCCGGATTTTGTTCCAGTGTATAGAATATGGTATCTATTTATGCCCTGTGTATAGTTTCTGCCCTTTGCCACTTTTGTCAAGGGATATCTGATTTGGAGTTAGATATGTATCTTTTTATTTTATTGGTTGCACCATTGTCTCAGAGCGAAACAATGCGCTATGTATAGTTACCTCTTGCATATTCCAAGTTTTTCCTTTAGCAGATACACAAAACCTCTCTTTTACAATTTTCATCATTGTCAACAGTTTAAAGAATATACTGGAGCGTGAATACTGCTTATCTGCACCGTTCCACAGCTGTCAAAGATATGCACAAGTATTTAGATGGGAAGGAAACCATTTGCCAGAAAATTTATCCCTGTAGGCATCCCCATATAATGGTCCTTCTATGCAAGATGTTATTGAAGACCACTACGATAATATTCAGGGGATCTTATATCCCCAATTCTTTGGAATCTCCTTATCTTTCTTCGGGGCAGATCCACATAACCACAAGAACAAACAGCATGGTTGATACAAACTTCATGGCGGGCTAGACCAGCCAATAGCATTGAAAACACAAGACATTGCTCAGACAACCGTGGATATAAAGTAACAAGACGGTTAGATGGACCCCTCACAGAGAGATTTCACAATGCCCCCCTCGCGTGGACGCATGGAAACTCAACTTAATCAAAAAAAAAATAAAGCCTCCTGCTTAGAAGGTCCTGGTCGCTTTTTGAATTGCTTTAACTGAGTAATTTTGAGTCAGAGGGGGCTGGCCAACTTCGAAAATGTCCGGAGACCGTATTAGGGTTTCGGACTCGAGGTCCGAGACTAGATATAGATTACAGATGCTTTTTGCATTTTGGGGAAGTGTATTAATACCACACTATACCACCAATGGTGCTGTTAAGGCGGATGCCTTTTATTGGTTATTGAAGAAAGAATAAATCCCTCACTGTTTGAAGCGGCAAACAACTTTGTGTCAGAATCATCACTGGACTGAGAGGAATTCAGTAAGTCATAGTTACCTAGGTAGATACCCGTTTATATTAATCGCGCCAGTTGGCCCAGGGTGCAGATAGACCTTCTCCCATACTTTTATTTTGATTATATTAAGGGCACAGGTGTATCGAGTCAAATATTTCAGCCATTCCAGCGCCAGAATCGGCAGGCCGTCCAAATGATATCCATCGACCCATTGGTGAAAATACAAATATGATCACATCTCCATCTTCCAAGATCTTTAGCTTGCCGCCTTTAAAGCCCTCTCTTCAACGTCCCCCTTCTTCTCAGGATAACCAAGTTGTTACCAGCTTCAATGTCGGAAGATAGTCAAACGCAGATTCGACCGATATTGCCGTGGATCTTGAATAACGAAGGGCATATTCCACAGAGAAGGAAAAGATTTACCTACCCTTTCAAGCTTCAGCCAAACAGCAGTTCAATATTCAGTTCACACTATTTCTTACCCCTGAATGAATTTGACAAACCTGCCCCAGAATAGGCTGCCAGTCAACAGGGAAGTCACTTAACATGCTTGATTTGCGAGTTCCCCAAGCAATGGTCTCCAGCGATGGATTGTGTTGTCTCCAATCTTGTTGATGCTTCCATCTGTTTCAATTAGATACTCAGTCTAGAAGTTCACTCAGTGAATCGTTAACTTGTTGCGTTGGCGAGGGTTGTAGCAATATCCACGGCTGTTAGCCTGTTCAGGCATGAAAGTTCCCAAGCATAATCCTGCTGAAAAAGTAGCATCCAGCCATCGGCTGGCAATTTGCAAAGAAGTGCTATTACATAGCGATATCCATGTTTGAAGAGCTTTTTCTTTCTCCACAGAACGTACCCCCTTAAATCTTTCTGCCCAAGCCGTCATGACAGGTTCTACTGGCTGGCGGCTGAGGGGAATAGGAGCTGATTTCCCAAAGGCTGTACTTAGATACCACAAGAGAGCGTTCTCAGCCGTCATTCAAGTTGAGGAGTTTCCGGAAGATTTTCCGGAGAATGTGAATCCTTTGATATCACTGAACGATTTTGACGTTGTGGTCACATGACTTTGCTTCCAGATTGGTGGCTGAATCTCCGCATCTGTGGCTGGGAAGCTAATATGGATACAGATACTGTACTGCAAGTACCGAACGTTAAGAACTCCTCCGATTACGTATTAGTTTTGTAAATTAAGTTTCTGAAAGGGCAACCTTGTTTGCTCTTCCATGCCTCTAGGAATGTTTGTATCGGCGAAGATAGACATCGTTGAATTCAATTCCTATTTCCCAACGGTTGATGATAATGTCTCTGCAGAGCTCCCTCCAGTCATTGTGACGTTGCATCATTTTTGTTAATATTTGCTGCCAAGTCATATCCAAATTATGCAACTTTACCGTTCTTTGGAATGTTATCCTTTCAAAGAAAAAGGGAAAAGTGAGAACGCATATAGAAAGATCCCTTCAACTGCGCCTTTCTGCTCCGTACTCCGTATACCAATGACAGTCCCATATTCCAGTGGGCCAGCCAATAGATGGAGAAGTTCTCCACACTATTACTCCGTACAAACCCTCCACATGTAATTCAGTGGCCGTACAAACCAACCAACGGATCTAGAATCCAGAACTCTGAATAGTACACGAATAACTTCCGCCAAGAACCAGTTCGCCTAGTTAGAGTGTCCCAGCGTATTACTAAGGTATATTATCCCTAACTAACTAGTTGGTTAGCCTTTACGGGGTAGTTACATACCACCTGGACAGCTTGGAACGCTCTGGTGGCGTGACCATACCGACCTAGTAATTCCCGTACATCCGCTGACAAAATATTTCGCCTCATTTTCGTTTTTAGTTATGGTAACGCTCAACCCAATCCCGGGGATGAAACAGTTTGATACGCTAGTTTACTACGTATGTAATACCAGCACTGACACCAGTACCCTTACCATATCGGCATTAATTGTATTACCCCTGTATGACCCATGTATCAGCCGATGACACGTTCGGAACGGTAATAACGCCGTCTTGTCCCTTGAGAGGCCTTCCCGCTTTCCTGGAGCAACACCTAACCATCTGAGCCTCTACGCGGCATAGCCTGCAGTACAACCTCCCACACCTACACCTCCCGCAAGCTCTTGCGATATACTCCGGATATCTCTCTCCATATCTCTCACCTACTACCACTACCTCTACCTCTTGGTCTGCCACAACCACCCTCACCAGCAGTGACCAGCTTGGGTCCTTGGACGGTGGCTGTGCTGCCTACGTAATCTGTCCGCCTATCCGGTTATCGCAGCGCATTACCTACCGAGCCTGCAACCCTCCGTTGCCCTTTGCGCCTGGGTAACCCCGACCTCCACAAGCCGCCCTCCCCGCCTCTACCTCGACTTAGCTGCTCGCTGCTGACAGTCATTCACTCATTTATTTCGCGATTGAGCCTGCCTCTTTCTAATTTCGCCACATCCACAACCTGGCGTGCCCTCACCCATCCGCCTTTTATCTTACCCGAGACGTTTTCCGTACCGCACGACCATCGCATCCTCCGATTCTTCCCCACAGAGGACTCTTTTAAGTTCACCAGAACACTAGCGCCGTTGCCGCGTAACCGATGTGCTTGTCCACGTCGTTTGCAAGTGCGTTACTGTGGTTGTAGCGTAGGTGGGCTTTACCCGGCCCTTGAGCGACGAAGAAAAGAAGTGGCTGGAAATCCATCGTGACGATCGGTGTGCTCTCGCATGGCATGTTTCGACTGCTCCCATGGTCTTCTGTTGCTGGGGGCAATAAAGTGACAGCGGAGGAGGTGAAGATGCTGGCCGCACCGCAACGACGATCTTCCATTGTGGACAACCCTGCGCTTCACAAGTTGAAGCGGAAGCGCGCAAACTCTGGCGAAACTGACACTTCTGTGCCAGAACCTACCCATCCCTCTAGGATATATTTCCGCCCGCAAGAGGCAAGCGGAAATGCTAAGCTAACACCATCACAGCTGCCTTCCTCTGTAGTTAAGGTACAATCGCCAGATCGATCAACACAAGGCGACACCCCTCGCCGCAATTCATTGAAAGCCACAAGTCAAATTAAGGAGTCTGGAGACATGCCTCCACCAAACATAGAGAAACCTGACCCTGAACCATCACCACCTGCAGGAACAGTGCCTAGAATGGATACGGAAACATTGCGCCAAACACTTGAATCACAACTGAGTCTAGAAATACTCCTTAAACATGATGAGCTACGGTTGATAGACCAAGAAATGGGGAAGTGCCAGGTTGCATTAGACCAGCTTCGTCGGTGCTCCGAAATCCCATATCCCGGTTCAAACGTTGCTGGACTCTCCGGTAATGTCAGCAGCGGTACTGGAAATGCAGTATTGCCGATTAGGCCTGGTCCACCGCCTATATCACCGTCGCCATGGGGTGTGACTGAGGGACCATACAGCAGGCACTATGCGAAATGGTTACTGCCTGATCCCCGGTTTGATGGAGGAGAGGTTGAGAGTGCTGTCCACGCCTCTGCTGTATCAGGGAGCGGCGCGGATGGACGAACGACCCGTGCGTCGTGGTCAGATCCAGGTGTTACAGGTACTTTGCGTTCGCAACGCAGCTCTGCTGGCACCAAATTGCAAGCATTATCAAGTGGCTATCCCCAACCGAAGGATAAAGCTGGGCCCATGATCATAAAGCGCAAGAGTGATGGTCAGCTCGTCAAATTGGTCTGTCTTGATTGTAGGAGAGACAACTTTTCGAGCACCCAAGGCTTTATTAATCACTGTCGAATTGCTCATAATCGAAATTTCGCCAGCCATGATGCTGCTGCAGCTGCATCTGGAGAGCCCGTAGAAGTCGACGAGGCAGGTATGGTTATTGGCAATAATAACGACGTACCTGCCGGCACTGCCGCTGGATATGTACATCCACTGATTCGCTCAGCTCACCTGGTTGGTTCTGCTGCACAGCCTGGTGTGCGTCGCGCATTTTCTCAGGGTCAATTAGCAAAAAGATCAGGTGATAGCAGCACATCTCGTGGTGGCAGCAATCAAGCCGAAAAGGGATCTTCGTTGAAATCTCAAAGTACTCCTAATTTGAACCGACCGCAACTGCAGAAGATTTCAGTTGTCCCTCTTAGCCCATCTTTCAAAGCTTCTCCAGTGACACCCAATCTCTCTTCGCTAATGCAGAGAAGAGGGATGTCGGTTGACTTGCTTGATATCGTGGATGATGCCCTGACCAAAACCGCAATGGCCATGTTGTCTTCGGATGACGAGTTCAGCGAAGGACTAGAAGACGAGAATGAACAACCAAACCACGATCGGTCCCGACTAAGTGTTCGAGGAAGTAGATTACCCGCGCGCACAATAGTTTCTCCATGCCAACCACCACGACCAGGGAGTCGAAAAGGGATAGATAAACCAAGCTGCAAGCCTCAGCCTTCTCCTATCCCCCCAACCCCCACACCTCAACGGCCATCATATAGATCTCCATATTTCCCAACTACAGGATCTTCGGTTGCCCCTGGAATCGAGCATGAAAGAAGTCAAGGAAACGACATCGATTCAATGGTTGACACGATTTCTTCTGAACTCAGTCCTAATACCGTGGAATCAAATCAGGCTCCAAGCCTTGTCAGTGATGACGAGGATTACGAAGCACCATCCGAATCGGAAAGCCCAAGCCCGTCTCCCTCCGCGGTAAGTGATGAAGGACCCGACAACATCGAGGTTCAAGATGGTGATGACGGTACAACTGGAGGCGCGAATGTGTCCACCACAGCAACGTCAGATGCGAAGCCAGGACCAGAAATAACGAGCCCTTCAAAACATCATCATCATCATCATCACCCATCACCAGTTTCGCGGGAAGTACCGGTTTACAAACGCAAGGCGTCCAGTAAGGTCAAAGGTGGTGTCAAGAATGCTGAAATGTCGCCTTCTACCAACACAGCTACTATGCGTGTCAACAACAAGGAGCCAAAACGTGTTAGCTTTGGGAGCCCGATCACCAAAACTCCGGCTATAGCTAAGAAGGATGGTGGGAAGAAGCAGCGTCGGGGATAAACCGGCTCCTTGGTTCCTGAGTTCTGTGGTGCTGTATTGTCACGTTTCCTATTTTTTTTTTTAATTTTTATTTCTTTATTATTTTCTCTTATTTGCACGAAAACTTCCTGGATTCCGCGTACGGACGACCGAATTGTCGGGTTGGCAGGAACCTCAAACGGATTCCTTTTAATTTTCTCGTTTATTTTTCTCCTCTTGTTTCGGCTCTCCTGTTCTGTATTGACCGGCTTAGTCCCTATTTGCTCTCTTCTGCAATTTGCTATTTTTAAACTTACGGGTGATCATAAGAAGGCATGTTCAATGGGATTTTCTTGCTGGTGGCTATGCCCTTGTTCCTTTCTTTCCGCAGTGTTTCTGGGTTATGGTTTATGGGTTTGTTTGGGTTGATATCAGGCAGGTCAGATGGATATTGGCCTCACCGGGTGGGATTGTTGTTCTTTTTGCTTTTGTTGTCCATTTTCTTTTCACCTCTTCTACCTCTTTAGGTTACCAAGGTTTTCTTTTTTGCAGCGATATTTGTTTGCTGCACCACTCCTTCACTGTATGTGCATATGGCTGGCCCCCACCCCCCTCACAAACCCCTTCTTTCTATATCTTCCAAACCGCCTTTCACGACCCACGATTCTTCCTATGTTATGTTATTTATATATAACCTGTTTCCTTTGCTTGCCTTTTGCACTTCTTTTTTCTCGATCACCTATACTATACCACTTACCACTTCCCACATGTTCTGTACATGTGAATGCACGTGCAATCTGCCCTTCCGTTCCATAACATGCCATAACGTCTATATATATATATATATGGCCCTTATCCTTTTTTTCTTGCTTCCCTTTCTCCGTCGGCGCTGTGCTTCGTTGATTCGATAAAATCCACTTTGTAATCAGTACATATGTTTTTGTTTCACGCTGATATGTTTCCTTATCATTTATCTCTGGTGATAGCTACTCATATGTCTCTTCACCATCCATTCCTCTATGTTTTCCCTCCCTTGCTCTCCAATTCTTCTCTCCCGTGCTGTGCCCCGGTATCGATATCGATATCTATTGATTTGATAAGCTTCCACACCATTTCAATCACCTGAGCATGTTAGATGAGAGGCTGCCTGGCCATGTTGTGTTTTCCCCCTTAATTATGTATACATACAAAGCTATATTATTTTATTATTTCAGCTTTTGTTAACTTTTCCATAGAGAATATATTGCTGGCTTTTGCCTTCAGTTCGCTGAGTATTATTCCCTTAGAGAATTTATTGAGACATGAAAAGATACATTAGGCCGTCGTTGAGATGACATTTACATATACATCTATTTTCATCTTGTGTATCTTAATTTTTGTGTATTCTTTCCCCCATATATGTACAGGAGAAGTGACAGGAGTTTTTGTGCCGGAGAAATTCGACAGAATAATGTGCTGGATGTGCTCTTCAGCTCAGATTCAGACTCCTCGCTTGGCAAATGATTTATTTAGGCTGCGCTCCGCATCATACGTCCTCCAACCTTAACTTCATCTCCTCCTCCTCCCATCCCTTCAAGCATAAAATTTGACGATTCATATGCCGTATATTATATGTTTATGGCGCACATTACTTTATTGCTAGTGAGGCTATGACCGTTGAACAACATAAACTCGAAAGACAACTGGTAGAGAAGACACGATCTCGGCTGCTGGTTGGAAGGTAGGCTGACCCTAAGCGTCCGAAGAAGAGCACAGCTATCTGCGATTTCCTTTTCCTTTTCCTTTTGCTTACATTCTGCATTTCTGTTCTGCTACTGATTCATATCGATGCTCATTTAATCTGGGGGATTGTCTAAATCCTACGTTGAAAGATGTGGTACGGATTTAAGAATTTGAAATCCAATTGGACGCCCTGAAGAGGCGGTCCTTGGGAGATGCCTGTGAACGTGCAAACCAAAAAATCTATAAATGAGTGGTTCGATAGAAGCCGACTGCTACTCATTTTTCTTTTGTACAATACCGGGCAGAGCAACAATTATTGTTATTAATTTCCGGGCATATGATGTCTCCTTGGGCTTTCTTTGGACAGTTGGCTATGCAATTACTTGTTAGCCGAAGTCCCATTTCATTCTATGAAGGATATCGAGAGTGAAGGCAGTTAGCAGTTCAACCGGCTTCGGCAAAAAGGCCCCTTTCATTCTCTAATTTAGCAACAAGTTCACACCGTGCTATTCAAACTCCGTTTCTCAAAAGGACGCACTTTTACTGTTCTTTAACTGACCATGTGGTGCTCTGCTCTGAATTTTGTTTGACATCCTAATATCCACTCTGACTGACAATTGGTTAAATATAGCCGTATCCCCAACCGTCAAGACTTTCTATTCGAGACTGATCTGGAAAATCAATTATTTTATTCCGGGGAGACAATTTTGCAATTTCTCAACCTAGTAGGGGGAACAGAAGCAGAGGAGCTGAAATGGGTTCACAGAACTCCTTCGCACCGTCCAATATATCCCGAACTTCCATCTCCTACCTCCTATCCCTTTATCCACACACCATCAGTGAATTCTACAAGGCCAAATTGGTTGCTAAATCAACGTCAAAAAGGTCTTTGCCAAAGGGAAAGAGTGAAGAAGCTATTGGAAAGGAAGTGGAAGCCTTTTTGAAGCTAGATCGACTACGTTACGACTCGATACCAGCAGCACTGAGAGATAGGGCTGTAGCTGGCACTGGGCTAAAGGACGAAAGCAAAGCGGGGGGGAACGTGAAAAGACCCAAGAAGAAAGTAAAGGCGTCCAAGAACGACGACGACAATTCGTCCGTTTCGGGTCTTTATTTAGAAAAGGATGAAATTGTCAATCTTATGGACTGGAAGCTGTAAGTGCTGTTTGATACTTCATAAAACCTGCAAGAAAAATGAAAATCTTATGTCATATTTGTTAGCAAGCACGGCTCCTATAGACCAGCCCTAATGGGCTTGATTCGCTCCAACGAAAACTCCCTCGTGCAGTCCACCACAAACACTGCCTTCTCACAGCTCCAGGACACTCTATCAAATGCCGGAGACGAAACGTTCCCCGCCGCTCCGCTCGAGACACTAACAGGTCCCCTTCGAGGTGTGGGTCCTGCCACTGCATCTCTTTTCCTTTCCATTGCTCCATACGGAATTTCATCAGATGATCCGTCCAGCGGCGTAAATAATTTAAATGCACCTCCATTCTTCAGTGATGAGCTGTTCAATTGGCTGTGTCTAGATAAGTACAAGCACGGCTACGCTAGCGACGGCAGCGGTGCGAAATCGTCAGTGACAGCAGTGCATAAGATTAAGTATAATATGAAAGAATACCAACAGCTGTGGGAAGCTGCGAGGGGGCTCAGGAAGAGGATTAATCAACTTCCTGAGCAAAAGGAAGGAGTTGAGAGCGTGGAGGGTGATGGAAGAATCTTCTCCGTGTTGGATATTGAGAAAGTGGCTTTTGTGATTGGCCATCTTGACATTTCGGGGTATGAGGACGGCATTAAACGGTCATCGGTGATGAAGGCTTCAGGAGATAGTGGAGGCGATGATACTGTTGCAGCAGGTGCAGCAGTTGATAGTACTGGTGTGGTGGGAAGGAGGAAAAGGAAAAGGGGATAGACGATTGAATAGGCAGATATGATGGGGAAGAGCTTTTGTGTAGTTATAACTATGTGAATTCAGGTATGCTAACTGGAATGACTCACACGTGAAAGAATTACTTTAATACATTCATGCCCTCGCTGCATTAACCTCCTGGAATAAGGAAACAAATGCGGAGTGAGCTGACTCGACTGAACATCCAAATTATGATACCACAGGATGTCAGCAAGCCATCAAGCAGATTGACTAACCACAGAACCTCAGGAGCTGCCTATTGTTACATGTTGCTCGCGCATCCACTCCCCCCCTACAACTAGTAGCACAACTCTCCTCGCTGCCCCTGAGAACACGCCAATATTCACCCTACGATTCCAATCTCAACTTCAACCAAACTCAGTCCAGAAAAACAAAGTCAAATAAATGTGAAAAAAAAAAATTAAAAAAAATAAAAAAAAATACCAACTTCCACTCCCATCCAAACTACCCACAAGACCAAAAAAAGCCCTCGCTCCAAAACCACATCATACAACAACTTACTAAACTCCGCGACTACACCATATACCCAATGCCAGCAACCAAAAGCCCAGCAATGCCTCCCATTCCCATACTAACACCACCAACGGCCGCTGCCGCATTCGGTGTCTGTGTCGCTGAAGAAGTCAGCGCTGCGGTGCCAGATGCAGTCCTCGACGCGCTGGATGAGCCTGTAGGCTCAGCCCCGGAGTCTGAGGAGGTAGGAGATTGGGTGGGGGTAGCCGTGGGTGTCGTCGCGAATTGCGAGGCAGCGTTGCAGTTGGCAATTTTGGAGGACTCAGCGCCGTGTCTGCCCAAGTCGTTGGGGCAGTTGTTGTAGCAACTGTATGCATTGGTCGAAGGTGTTAATATTATAGTCTATGTATATACCGTATATGTTTGGGATTTTTTATTTTTTATTTCTTTATTTATTTGGGGTTTGGAAGATATGCGGGCACGTACGTCAAGACATTGGTGTGCTGCGTGCAGAGACATTGCCAGTCATTGGGAACGCAGGTTTTGAGTAGGGCTTGGGTCGATTGCAGACAAGCTTCGAGGATACTATGTTTAGTTTTGCTCTTGTAAGCAAAAGATTTTCTGAACATGGTTTATACGAGAGAGCCGTGTGTCCATGAAGGATGCAGTGTACGTATTATCCATAGCTGATAATCAATCGCCAACCAACAGAGAGAGAACGAACTTCTGAGCGTCACAGCTGCTTGGGCTTTTCGAGGTCTGAGCGGCAACGAGGCCGAATAGGATGGTGCAAAACGCGGGTACTGAGACGAAGGAGCGCATTTTGGGTGGATAAACAAGAAGTAAATGAAGAAACGAATGATCTTGTTCAATTGCTAGTGGAAAGGAGTTTCAAAAGGCTTCGTAGCCGTGCACACAGAGAAACGAATGTCAACCGAACGAACGGACTGAAGAAGAACAGCTGCGGGTGGGGTACAAACGAATGAATGGATAGATGGATGGACGGAGTGGTAATGTAAATGGTCAAAGAAAAGAGAGCGTGGGAAGTTCAAGGAATGTTTACAGTGTTTTTATTATTATTCTCATTGACTCCAGCAGAGGGAAAAAAAAAAAAAAAAAAAAAAAGGGGAGGGGGCCGGTCCCCAAAAGGGGGAAGAAAGTTTGGTAACGGGCCTATAAAAACGAAGAGAGGCAAAAGAGGAGCTTGAACTAAGGGGCAAGCCAACTGGGAGAGACCACAGCATCAACCATTCAGGTTGCACGCAGGGCGATGGGCAATCTGCTAGCTCCCGTAAGTATGGAATATCCATACGGATGGATGATGATTGCGGGTGTGCCACATGATATCTGAAGCTGAGGCCCGTATCTTGGATTTGAACCCGCATACTGCGTTGCACTGCCCTGTGGCCATGCCCACTTGGGCAGGTATATGGGGTATGGTATCACCGAGAAGCAGGTTGGCTCAGGAATCGAAGCCGTGAAAGCCGGTAATGGTAATGCATTGTGGCCAAAATCCTGAAAATGTCCATTGACCACAGTTGCCGAAGAACAGGATGAAACTAGGGGCGTTTTGAAGCTGCTCAAAGGACCGCCTAGCGCTTCGCCTGATGCGCAATGAATGCTATCACGATGGACAGAATGTTTTACAACCTGCTTGGCGCGGGCTGGACAAGCAGCACAGATATATGCGATCTGGACTGCAATTGGTGTGGGTCGTGGAGGCTAGACAATCGCATCCATGAGATAAGCCAATTGAGATGTTTTCCAGTTTATTTAGTTTGGTTATTGGGAATAGATGTTTTGCGGTGGGCCTGAGAAAGGGTGATAAGTTAGCTGGCTAGTTCGTTGCTTGAACCCGTTCACTAACCAGTAGTCAACGCAGCCCGGAGCCGAGGAGAGGTCAAAATTGCCGCTCTGGGAACTGGTGAGGCGGGCGACTTGAACCTCGGGATCAAGCAGTAGTTGACTGACTCTGCGCAGTTAACCACAACCTTCAGCCTTGCAATAAGACTCCATCTGTGTCTTCTAACAGCATAATTCGAGATTTGAAGGGTGTGCAAAGGTGTGAGAAATGGCTCCATGCTCCGTACGCGGGCAGTTAGCTATTGAGCACCATGTTCGATGCGTATCGATCGAGTATTATTGTACAAAAATGCTTCCTCTTTCGCCCTATTCTCTCCCCTCAGTCTGCTCTCCTGTTAAGGTGAATAATGAAATTTACGCATCTCACCTCAAGAGCGCTCTATACACAAAGGAAAAAATAAAGGGAGAGAGACTTAGCGATGTGATATATAATAAATCAAATCTTGACAAAATTTCATTATATCAACAACAACCACATTATATATCTTCACTGCCTCGCAGCCGGTTTAAAATGAAAGTAATAACATAAAACAAGCACAAACAGTTACGAGGAAAGAAAGTGGATGGCAGGAATACACAAAGGGCGAGCGACGAAGAAGAAGGAAAAAACCAGAAACATTAAACCATTAAAATGGACGCCGAAAACTAAACGGAAAAACAGACAGCAGAAGACAAAAGGAACAGGTGAAGAGGAATGATGATACGCAATTCCCAAGATCCACCTGTCTATCTTTGCTTCGGGGAGAGCAAGGCAAACAAATGACCGTTCACCGCCGCCCGTTCCCTTGCGAACTTTTCATTCATACATACATCGATAACCACAAAACCCGTTGGCAGAGGACACGATACTGGCTTGAGGTTGTAACTCAAACAGCCAACCAACACCGAGAGAGGGAGAAGGGAGAAAAACGAAGGGTGTTCCTGACGAGGCAGGGAGAGGAATGGGACATGGTTTGTATATATGCGGAAAGGAGAGAATAAGATCATTTGATCGTCGTTAATTATAGGGAAAAGGTGAGTTGAAACGAGTGAATCGAAAGAAAGAACCAAAACACGATGAACGAACGGCTCAGAAGGGAGCAAAAGTGCCTAGTAATTTGACTAGAGAAAGGAGGGGAGAAAAAGAAAAAGAAATGGAAAAAGGAAAAAAAAATATAAAGATGAATAAAGATAAAAAGGATAAAAAAAGTTATGGTCATGATAGTATCAGTGACAATGGTTGGTACCCATTCCCCCGCCCTCATAACCGCTTTGCCTGGCCTGCTTGCTCTACGTTATACAGGAGAAGATGAAAAAAGAATATACACGAATATTTGGCGGGGAATGAATGCGTGTGGCCTTGCAGCTCGCAGGCTTACATACACAGAGACACAGCGCCACACGCGTAAGGAGGTTGAATATGATGAAAATCGGACGAGAAGAACAAAAATATGGCAAAAGCAATCGTCTTCCCTAAATAAAATTGTACCTTTTGATTATTTTGTTTTTCAGCTTACTCCTGGCCGAAACCTAAGGTCTCTTCGACGGCTATGGTGAGTTTACTCTGCAGTTGCTCGTAGGTCTTGTACGGTGGTAGATCCAAGCGGTTGAAACTGTAAAATTTTATTTTTTTGCGGGTTAGTATGGAGAAACAATGATTGCGACAGCATTCGCGAGAATGGGGGTGGGGGGAGAAAAAGATAGGAAAACGAACCATGTATGCGACTTGGGCAACGCAGAAATCTCCCCAGACTTCTCAATAGTAAACCGTCTGGGCCCATCGCTGCCCTGAAGATCCTTGAAGCCATTGACAGGAATGCGCGAAGTACCCGTTGCAAATTGCAGCAAGCGAGACTTTTGCTCCGCATCCCAGGTCCGAATAACCTTCCAGAAATTCTGGATCACTTCGTCCTGCTCCTGGTAGCCGCGGTAGTCTGTGTGTTTCTTCCAGTCGTCCACGTCGATGTCTGCGATGCCGCCGATGAGGAGTTCCAGCTCGCGCTCGTCAAAAACGTTGACAAGGTCTGCCGGGATGAGTTCGTTGAAGCCGGTTATGAAGGCGTTGAATTGCTCTTCGACTCGTTTTTGGATTTTCCATTCCGTAATAAGTCTGTGGTTTTTTATCGTTCAGATTAGTCTATGGTGATGCCGTTCAGGTGATGAGAAATCAGAAATACATACTCAACATATTGTTTCTTGTTTTCATTGGTAACAGGGATATTAGAGCCGTTGGGAATCAAGTCTACAGTCTTCCTTTCGCCAAACTGGTCATCATCAATCGAGAACGTCAGCTCATCGAATACACCGGTGATATCATTTTCCCTAGTTGTATCATTAGCAAGCTGGCATTATCGCAAACAGTTTACATTAATAAAGGTAAGACCTACAATGTCCACGTTAAATTCCGATGGAAATCCTCGTCGACGCCCTCCATATCTTGTAGCGTGACTTTTTTCCTTAACATCATCTTATAAAATGCACCTATGAAGAAAGAATCAAGGAAACGACGGTGGAAAATGGCAAGACCAACAACGCGCCCTATAAACTTGAAGTAATTCAAGTGTTCAGGGTTAATGCCTGAGTGTGGGTTGATTTGGAGCGTATAGTTATCGTGGGCAGAATATTCGAAAAGACAGTAGAAAGGGTTGAACATTTCGTGCGAGAGCAGGAAGAAGAATTCTCTGTTTCGTTTAAAAAGATTTATCTGTCAGCAAAATTGCAGTAGATACGATATATTGGCACAGGGTCTGTAGCAAAGAAAACGAACCTGGAAAGACCACCATAATCGAGTCCATCTTCCCCATCGAACTTGATCATCAACCGTTTCTTCAAATCGGAAGCGCTCTGGCGCATAATCTCCGCATACGAATCTTCGAAAATAGCACCTCGTCGAACCTTGACGTGACATTGGCCAGACATGATTCGCAGCGCGGGCTGGGATCTGAAGTAGATAAGCTTGCGCCGGAAATCACGTTTATATTGCGGAACACCTTGGTCAAGAGAAGAGGGCAGCCGAGGATCGTCCCACGTGGTAGTCTTCGTGTTGTGATCAACAAAGTATACCCGTGCCGTATTCGTTAGGCGCATTTCCCAACCACTTGGTAGCGGTCCCAGTTGGGACACAGGCTGTTGTTGGATTGTGGTATTGTTTCCGTTGGCATTCTGGCCATACATGCGAATATACTGCTGTCTACGAGGATCAACCCAGGTGGTCGTTCTCGTGTTATGGTCGACAAAGTATGGGCGACCTTCTGGTGTATATCGCTGTTCCCACCCTGCTGGAAGCTCACCAGTGCCAGCTGTCGTAGCCCCCGTGGCCATCATCGAAACCGCATTTGCATTGGTGGTGCCTGGCGGGGTACTTGTCTGCTGGTTCTCTGGTGGGTTTGGCGAACTTGCGCCGGTTCTGTCCTCTGGAAGCATTCGACTTTGATGGGCTCTGCGTTCCATTTGCATGTTGGCTTCCATTTGGGTGCGCTGGGCCTGCTCGTTGTAGTGCTGCGAAGGCCTTGTCCATGTTGTGGTTCTTGTGTTGTGATCAACGTAATATGTGCGGCCAAGATTATCCTCCCGCCTTTCCCAACCTGCAGGCAACCTTCCCTGGCTGTCTTCAAAGGAGCTCAGATTTGCCCTGGAAGAAGCAGATCCATTGGGTTGGTGACTAGGTCCAGTGACCGGGGCCGTGATAGAGGTCGTGGGGGTTGCTGCGGATGTAGCTCGAGCTGAGAGAAGGGAGGAACAGGGAGCAGCAGATGACTGATCGCCAGCCATTTGGCTAGCTGCTGTACCAGCGGCTGATGCGGACGACTGAGGGCGAAGTTGTTGCTGATATGAAAGGTTTGAGGATGGGGGAGCGGTAATGGGCGCCCTTAATGATCCGTTTTGTGGCAGCACAGGCGTTGACAGGTTAGTGGAAAGGTTAATGATCAGTTTCCCGTGGACAACAAGGTTATCATTTGATTTCTTCAGATCTCTAGTGAGCATCTCTGCAAGATGGAAGGTTGGAGAGTTAGCATCGTCCTCTTGATCTCGATCGGAAAATGGTAATATGGTGGGTTATTCACCATCGTCACCAACGTCTAAATCAATCACGTCTCCAATGCGCACATTTATAACACCCAGGAAACCCTGGTCCTTCTTCTTGAACTTCTTCTGGTCGAAAATCTGAATGGCGAGAATGGAATCTTCGGTCACCCTCCTAGTAAAAGTTGGCAACGCTCGTTAGACCCAGCCACAGTGAAACGTCAATAGAGCGGGTGGGATTGTCGTACAGGTCAAAGACTTCATTCCAGTATGGATTGAGTGTTTTCTTGATCACCGAGGTAGTGTGGGTTTGTTCACCACCAACCGTGGCGACTGCGAAAGGGTCGGGAAAGCCTAGAGGGATACTGTGAGCCTGGAGATTCACTCTTTCTCTGCATACACCTATATCTATCTATCCATATGTACGAATATATGGATATTTCCTTCCTTCGTCAATACCGGGGGAGTGTCCAACTTACGGAAAACATCACGTTTGTAGAGTCCATCAGCGGCGATGACTATAGAGTAAGAGAGGCGGCGGTTATTATGGCGCAGGTGTGATGATGGATGGTTACAAGCGGATAAAAGGATGGAGATTCTTACTCGTGACCCTAAGATTTGGTTGACTGAAAGAACAGTGGTGTTAGAACAGAGATAGTAGAATAGGAAGAAGCAAATGATACAGAGATGTCAGATGTAGAAATAGAGCATAACAAAAAACCTACGCAGGCAAGTTGGAGCCCATTCTGACGACCGACACAGCTCAGAAGGCCGTCTCCGTCTGCAAGGACGGGGTGGACAAAAGAGGCTGGAGACGATGATGCGGGTTTCACATTCACTGGCCAGAAGGAGGAGAGAAAAGGCTATATATAGCCAGGAAAATGAGAGAGTGGGGGGAGGAGGGGCCTGGGAGAGGGGGGAAAGGGGAAAGGGGAAAAGGAGATAGATGAGGACGGCAGAGTCGAGATGAAGAGAAAGCACAGTAATCCTGGCTTGGATTGCAAGTAGTTGAGGAAGTGAGTGATTGTGAGTGGGCAGGATGCAAGGTTTCTGATGCCTGATATCAGGATGTCAGATGTCAGGAAGTTAGAATGTTATGTTGTTTGCGTTAAGTTGAGGCTGAGCAACACTGGGGCGGGCTAATCACCGGCCCGCAAGGACACTGCTAAAGTGGCGTGCCCAAGAGATAAGTCAATAGAGAGTAGAACAGCAGTAATTAATTCCGAAGTAATTAATAGTTAACTAATTAATTGACGACATTAATTTAAAGTGAGTTATCAGGATATTATATGAATTTTTCGGGTTACGGATGAGTGTCTGAGAGGCTGGATATGGTTGGGGCTGATGATGCCATAGAGGGTGAACCTTTAAGAACAGCCACTGATGTGGATGAGTATGAACCCCTCATCTGGAGATGCTTTGCATACAGCTATCTCGAGCACTGCTTGTTGCTGCTTCCTACGCTCCTCTTTACATAAACCAATTCCGGGTATATAAAAGCGTCACAACGCAAGGGATTGTGGTTAGGATCATGGTGTAGACATCTCAATATCCTGCGGATAACCTTCTATTGTGCCTCTAGATAGGAAGCTTTTGTATGCCAATAAAAAGCAGCGTCATACCTGATATCTTCGAATATTCCTCTTCATTTTTTTTTATTCTTTTTCGCTGCTCTTCGATGCTAGCTCAAGCTCCCTTCCGCTCATAAATGGATCAAATCTGATATTCCATCGAATTCCAAACCAAGAAAAGAAACAGAAAAAGAGAAAAACAAATGAAAAAAAAAAAAAAAAAAAAATGAAAAGTGTGAAAAATAAAGTCAAAGGCAGGTGAGAAGGAGGGAATACATCCACAAGAGCTGCAGAATAAAGTAAGAACAACATAAAAATCAAATCAAGACCGACAAAGAGGACAGACATCGGAACCATCATTATCCCACCAACTTTTTCTTCTGGCTCCTTTCCCATTCCTGCCTCCAATTAACTTGAATTTTCGGAAACTCAAATTCAACATCCTTCGCTAGACCTTATCATATCATACACAAACAAACCCCAAACCTCAATCGCACCTATTTAATTCGCATTTCGATTCGCGATTGGCTTTGTTGCGGTTCGTGGCCTGGGAAAATCCCGGATAGCATTGCTCGGAAATCCGTTTTCCTTTCTCTCTGCGCCCACCTAACCTATCAATGCGAATTACCCAGCATCTTTAGAAAAATATAAAAACCGTCCTTCTTTCCCGTTTCTTCCTTCATCTCTCAGTACGGTGCATATCCTCTCCCCCGACCTCTATAGCCTCCACGATATACGCCTCGAGGAAGGAATCCCCCGCGTCCGAATCCGCGACCGATTCCGCCCCGGCCACGACCACGACCTCGAGCCATTCCCGGCAGATTGGTTCTTTTGGGGACAACCTAGAAGAGTGTGAGGTAGGTTAGATTAGCGGTTCGTGAAACATCAGAAGCTAGAAAGAGGGATATGGAAAGGGGGGGAGGATTGTAGTGCTCACCTTCAAGTTCCGCCCACGAAAGACGCTCTCGTTCAAAACAAGTGCTTGAGCCACAAGACTCGGCTCCGTGAATTCCACATACGCATACCTGCTTGTATTTTATACCAATTAGCGCTCCATCTCTTGCCAGGCAGCGCGGATGTAATAAAAATATTTCTTTTGTTCTCTTCTCTTTTTCTTTTCTTCGCTTCGATTCAAATATGATCGAAGGGAAGAAGGGGGGTGGGGGGGGAGAGGAAAGAGGAGCAGAGACCAAACCAAAACACACACACACACACACACACACACAAAAAAAAAAAAAAAAAAAAAAAAAGAAAAAATATCAAAGCCCCTCGGGGCGAAATAATAGAGAAAAGAAAAGAAAAGAAAAAAGACTAGACAAGACAAGCAACAAACCCTTTGGGATGACCAGTGAACTTGTCGAGCAGGATAGTAACCCTGTTTATCGACCCGCAGCTCTGGAAGTGCGCCTGGATCTCCTCAGGCGAGGCGCCGTAGTCGACATTCCCGACAAATATGCTCCGTGCATCGATGTCTTCTTTATCCTCGCGCAGGCTCTCTGACTGCTGGTCCAGTGACGCTTGCATCTCTCGTAGCTTGGCGGCTTCCGACTCCATTTCGGCAACTCGCTTTTTCATAGCAGCGATTTCTTCCTGTATTTGAGGTGTTAGCCCGCGGAAAGGGTGGTTTTGAGGAAGATCGTTAGTGCCTTTCGGGGAGCTTGGGAGGCTGGGACGGGGAGCGTAGCAGGGGAAATTGGGGGGTGTTTGTGGAGGTATGTGGTATGCATTGGTAGCAGGATAAATGGAAAGCAGACATACCTCTTCATCACCGGGTTTCTCATGGGTCTCCAGCCGTTCATCAGTAATACCACCTGCGTCAGCCATGGCTGTGATTGAAGCGGAGGAAGCTCTCTGTTTATTTCTGAGGAGAGGAGTAGGGTGGATTGGCTTTGATAGATGTGGTACTTTTTCAGCTCGTCCCGAGATGGCTCAGCGATGAGGAAGGGGGGATATATGGCTGAAAAGCGCAAAAATGTCCAACTGTCCAGAGGTGGCGGGCAAACAACTCAATGTGACTAGTGAGAATCAAAGAAAGAAGGGAAAAAAAAAAAAAAAAAGAAAAGAAAAGAAAGTGGATTCGAGTGGAGAGTGGTGTGGGAGGGATGTTTCGGAGATGTGTTTGTTATCTCTTTTGAATGTCCTTTGATATTATGTTAAATTTGTGCTGGAAATGGGGACGGATGAATTCATTCAACCCAAGGAGGAATAAAACTAAGTGCTGTAGAGAGAGATCAATGGTCTTTTGGGTCTGGCGCGGGTGACGAATTAGGCATGGCGCCGTCTGAGGATCCAACAGGTATTTTGGCCCCTTTGCGATGCTTCATTTCTTCAAGCTTCAGAGCGTAGAATAGATGTTGTTGATAAATCAGACTGCATTTTTTGTTTTTTTGTTTAAAAAAAAAAGATGAAATTAATAAAACTGTTTTATTTGTCATGTCCTTTAGGAGAATTGAATTGGGAGCATATTTTTATCTTCACGTAACTATATACAAATCTTTGAAGGACGAAAATGAATATGCCATCCTCACATTGATATATAATAGCAAGTTAATATAGAAAACCCAGTCGACAACTACAACTCTATGAGTTGGCTTTTTTGATTTCTTTCTCGAGCCGACCGCTTAAGACATCATGGTCTCCTCTCTCCCTGGCCTACAAAATACAAATGCGGAGGAACGGAAACCAGGGGCTTTCCTAGGTGGTTGGTTGGTCAAGCAACAAATGTGATAGCTATACACTGCGACCCAATGTAGGCTAAGAGAAACCACGGACATCGTTTGTCACAAGAAACTTGTCGTGAAAAGGGTAGTGAGAATATTTTTACGTTTCTAGTGTAAGCCGATATATGCACCATGTTTTAGTAGATGAAGTAGATACTAAGAGAAGAACGAAAATTGACGGAGCAAGCATGACAAGGACATTTCAACAAATATTTCCCATTACTTCAAAAGATTTAATGCATTCATGAAACGGGAGAGGGTGCTTGTTTGCGAAACGACACTTTCTCGACCGAGACGGTTTCCGCACCCTGGGCATCCTTGCGTAGTTGGTAGACGTAGAGTACGAGCACGTCACCTTGCACCTAAAAGAAAGGAAAAAAAAAAAGAAAAAGGGGGGGGGGAAAGGAAATGTCAGCCAGCCAGCCTCTTCCAATTAATGGACATAGCATAACAGAAGTTATAGTCATCCGGGATATGATTCAGGATGGGCATAAATATATAACTCACATCCATCAAACAAAAACTGGGCGTGGGCTCCTCCTCATCCTGCCCCATCCCACCCGCAGTCGTCGTAAAGGCCCCCGTAGCACTCCCCGGATTGATAAAGAACCTCCCTTCCAACTCATACGCTTCAAACTTATGCGTGCCTCCCCACAGCAGGATATCGACATCCATCTGCCGCGCCGCTATGAGGAGGGAATCCGCATCGCCCGGCGGTATGATGGTGTGGCCGTGGGTAAAGCCAATGCGCAAGCTGCCGTGTGTGACGACCTTGGAGAGCGGAAGGTTGGGAGAGTCCACGTCGAAGTCGCCCTTGACGAGTTGGAGGTCCGGGGCGATCTGGCGGAGGAATTCGAAGGTGTCGCGGTCTGTGAGGTTGCCGAGGCAGAGGATTTGGCCAATTTTACCGGGTGTGAGAAGTTTCTTGAACTGTATTTAAGGGGGGATGCGTGTGTTAGTATGTTGGGTGTGTGTGTGTGGGGGGGGGGGGGGACGCTTATGTTGGGACAGAGTGTTGGAAGCAGGTTGTTGTTGTTGTTGTTGTTGTTGTTGATTTTGTTGTTGGAGGTGTATTCGCGGGGTTGATGGGGCAGAGGGGCATGGATGATGAGAGAGTGTGATCTAGCAAACCTTTGCGGGGATGTCCTATTTTGCGTAAAATTGACATTAGTATATGGGGCTCGCGATCCTCTAACGGGAGCAAGATTTAAACCATCGCATCCAATAGATAGAGCAGAGGGGAGAGGTATCAAGTAAACCTACAGGTGCACGGTCTGGGACGAAGAGGTCGCCGATGGCCAGGACCAGACGGGAGGTCATGCTTGTGGGAGCGGCTTTTATTCTAGCAACCCATTCCTAGAGGATGAATTGTTTTACAGCAGGGTGGTCCTCCTCGTCGTCTTCTTCTTCGTATCCTATCCTCGTTGTCGTTGACGGTCTTTCAGGTGTTGGGCATAGGTTCAGCCTGGGTTGGACTGGAGCTTGCCCGTTTGGCTGCCGTCGCGGCTGCGGCTGCGGCGTCTACACTGATCTCTAATCGGGGGAGAGAGGATCCTAGAGTTGGCGCCCCAGCCGCCCAAACCCGTAACTGGCTATTCCAAATGGGGCAAGGGGGCAGCACGTGCTCGGCAAAAGATGCACAGCTGACTAATTCTTTGATCTGCCACTAATTAAGTAAGCATCCTCTTAGAGGACCGATTACTGCCTTGTTTCATTGTGGACTCTAAGCGAGCTAGCTACAACTAATAAATACATATGTGCACGTGACCTCGGGTAGCCGGGGAATCCTCCAACACCCCCCCATGCCACGGTGAGCCCGAGCTCTGCCACCTATCCCCTAGCTGCTGAATCCCCTCAAATCCGCAATAAAAATTAAATACAGGAATCAGATGCTAGTTTCCCTATTAGGAAAAGCTCTATTACACATCTGTACAGTAATTTTGCAAAGAAAGCACACAATTATTCCTCTAACCTGTATTCTCATTACACCTCCTTGGGGGCCGCAAAACTGTGTAAAATCAATCATCCTCATCAATGAGATCAGACCTCCATCAATCCTATTTTCTCCACAAATTCATTGTAAGCTGGCTTTGGCAGAGGCTTCATAAATCCATCTGCTTTATTCACTGTAGAGTCTACATGCAAGAGCTCCACCTCTCCCTTCTCAACTAGGTCACGAAGTATATGGTAATGAATCTCTATATGACAGGATCTCTTTGTCAAGGACTTTCTTTTTGTCAGATCAATGGCACCTTTATTATCCACCTGCAATGTTGTGCAGATCTTTGACTTCCCTTCCATCAGGCCTGCATTTTGCAGCATATCATTCAATCAAATAAGCTCATACATAGTCTCACTAGCAGTGATATATTCTGCTTCTGTTGTTGATTTTATGATTGATATTTGATATTGTGAATGTCATGATATTGAGGATTTATTTATTATGATAATGTAGCCAGATGTTGATTTATATTGAGGGTTTGCACCTGCTCAATCTAAATCACAATAAGCAACTGACTGTAGGTTTCTATCATCTCCTTCATTTTTGTAAATTATTCTCATGGCTTTTATCTTCTTTACATAGTGAAGGATATGCTTCAGGGCCGCTCAGCAGTCCTTATTCAGGCGTGAGTTGAACCTTAACAGATAATTCACAACAAATGCCAAATCTGACCTTATGCTTGATATAATATATTGGAGTGATCCAAGCTCCTAATGATATTTTATAGCTATAAACTCATTTTCTAATCTATCATCCCCCTCTAGGGTGAATTTAAATCATATACTTACTATTATAGATATGCCAGTAGGGTTAATATTATCTATCTTAAAATCTTTAAAGATCTCTTCAATATAGTGAATCTGTGAGACTGCTAAGTCACTATTTAACCTGCATTTGATCTCTATCTCAAGATAAGATTTATCTTCTTTAATATTTTTTGTGTCAAATTTCTTCTGTATCTCACTTAACACTTAATCTAATTCTACCTTTTTGGGGCTTGTAACCCTACAATCATCAACATGCAGTGTTAGGTAGATTTTGTGGATAGGATAAAATAGAAATCCTTTATCATATTTTGAAATCTTGAATCTCAGTGATGTAAGGTGCTCTGTTATCACAAAATACCAGGTCCTTGTAGCTTGCTTCATGTCATATAAACTCTATTTAAGAAGGTCTACCAGTCCCTCCCTTCTATGTTTAATACATATAGGTAACTGCATATAGACTATTTCATCCTGTGGCAGTACACTATTCAAAAATGCTAACATGTAGTCAATCAATTTTGATTTCCAACCTCTGGCAGTTGATATAGCAAATAGAGAGCAACTTGTAGGCCTTGAGACAACTGCAGCATAGAACTTGGAATAGTGAATGCTCTACTACTATAGGAATTCTCTAATCACTCAGCAGACTCTAAAATGAATTGTCTCACCTCTATTATTCAACTTATAGTCAAACACTCATTTGCCTGTCAGCACATTCATCTCAGACATCTTCTCAATGATAATATATGTCTTCTTATTCTTGAATATTTTAACTTTTTTTCTCATTATCTCAAGTTAATAATTTAAATCTAAGCTCTTTTTTGCTTCTGCTAGGTTATTTGAGTGATTCATAAATATACTTAGAATAGAATTTGTGTTACTGGTAAGTATCTCAGATTCATTATTCTTAACTAGCTCTGTCTCATTAAATAGATAGACTAAATCAACGATATTCTCCAAATCATCATTAATTAACATCTTCAGAATCTCTAATTTATCTTTTGCTAGTTGTTCTAGCAGATAGTGATATTAGTCATTCAGAGAGTTGATAACATCTAATTTCTTTGATAGTTTGATGTCTTCTCCTATCATCTCAACAGCTTCACTTGTGACATTTGCAGATACAGATTCTGTGACAAGATCTTCATCAAAAATAACATCTCTAGTAATCTCTAATTTATATTCTCTTGAATCTTATATATGATATTAATGCAGTTCTTGATAACTCACTAATCTCTATTCTTTGTCATCTATTCTGTTTGCAAGCTTATTTGTTACTTTTAAGTCCTTCTTATAGACTTTGCATTCTCACCTTCAAATCCAATGAACTGATAGTTATACCTATATCCAAGCTTCAAAAGATATCAATAGACTGCTATCTTTGCAGCTAAAAATCATTGTTAATATAGGGGATGTATTTATCAATATTATAGCTACCTGCATTGCTTTACTCTAAAGCTCTCTGGTAAGCTTACTATCAAATAGTAGACTCTTTGTCTTATTCACTACTAACCAGTTTGCACATTTTGCAGGGCTATTTGATTGAGATATATCTGAGGTAGTCACTTCATATGCTATCCTACTATTCTTGCAAAATATATTAAGATCATTACTTTTAAACTCTTCTTCATCATTCCAGTGCAGGGTTCCTACAGGCTGTTAGAATGTTACCTTAATTATGTTAATGAAGTTTATGAGTGCTGATGTGATCTCTGCTTTTATGACAATTAGAATAATTTATCTAAAGTGAGTAGTGTCATCTGTAATTATAAGGAGCTGAACTATTAGATTCGCTCTGGCTGGCTGACTCAGCCTAGCTATCATTTGCATATGCGCATGTGATCATGCTACGTAAGCTTGCTTAAGCTTGTATTCTTATCTCATTTTTTTCTTTCCTTTCTCAAGCAATTTGTCCTTATTATATAGTAGGACTAGCTTATAGTTCTTAGAGCTTAATTCTCTACATTATGAATTGCTTCACTTCTTTTATTGATAGGCTACTGGTAGTCTTAATCTTGTATCATGAAGCTCAGCAAATATGCTGATATATAATAGACTATTGAGAGCCTTAAATCCTGTATCATGAAGTTCAGTAATAGCACTAGTATATAAATAGACTGGGTTAGCAATCATGCTAACAAACAAATGAGCAACATTGAAAACATCTAGCTGAGTGAGATAAAGTGGCAGACTTGTACAACAAATATACAAATGAATCAACATGAAGCAATGAGCAGGGATACTCTCAGCAGCTTTGAACAACAATGGATGGCTTTTCTCCAACAGCAGAAAGAGATTCAGCATGAGAACAGAGATATAATAGCAGCTCAGCAAGCTGAAATAGCTAATCTATGACAAGCTTTGAACACTCTGACATCAACTCTCTCTCAATTTAACTCACAACCACTCATTGCAGTCAGAAGACCAAAGACTAAGCTATCAGACTGTGAGAAGTATGATGATTCTAATCTGAAGCACTACTCTCAGTGAGAGCTAAAGCTTTAATCAAAACTTAAGATCAATAGGAAAGCTTTAGGTAATAATGAGGAATGTGCTTGATATATATATTCAAGACTAGAAGAAATGGCAGCAGCTCAAGTTTACTCCTGAGTTGAGAATAATAAGAATAAGATCAACTTCACAGTAGAGAGCTTACTGAAGCAGACACACATGCTCTTTAGTGATTCTGCACAACAGAAAAAGGTTATGCAAAAGCTCAACAATCTATAACAGAGTAGAAGAGCTCTCTTTGACTTTCTGCCTGAATTTAATCAGCTACTGCTGGAAGCTGGTAGTCACAGATAGAATAATCATATTAAAAAGAGATATTTAAAATTCACTCTAAACATGGAGCTGAGGGAAGGTATAGTGGGTGTAATGGAACCATCTCTCTATGAGAATTACTGCAAGAAGCTTAGATTAGTTAATCATCAACTCTCTGAGCTTAAGACTTTAATGTAGTGGTCTAAACATCATGAGGGCAGATCTTCTTCAGATCATACAACATCTAATCCACACTCTCTACTTCATTATGCTGTCCTTAACTGATGAAATCAGTCTCAAACTTCCACTAATGATCTGATGGATCTCTCTCCTGATGCTGTGACCCCAAGCACTCACCACATCAAATTGATAAATCAGACAGAGGTTAATCAATGAAGATAGCAAGGCCTGTGCCTGAGATGTGAAGCTGATGGTCATATGATTAAAAGCTGCCTGTTCAAATCTCCCAGACACTCTGCCACCTCCACAATAGCTAAAGTGATCCCTGAGCTGGTACTGAACAATGACAATGTGAATATGAGTGAGAATTTGAGAAAAAAGTAGCTCCAACCAAAAGACACTGAAAGGAGTGAAATAAGAAGCTTATAAGAAAGCAATGGAGAAGATTTAAATCTAAAATAATATTCAAACCCTTCACTGTTGATGCTTTAGTAGATAATGCCTTTTCAACTAGAGCAATGATAGACAATAAATGTAATATCTATGATCTTTTTTCTCAATTCTATATTAATAAGCATAAGCTCCTGTGCATTGAAATTTCCTCTGTTAAA